GGGGCGGCCCTGGTGAGCACGCCCGGCCCGCGGCAGCCGACGCCTGGGCCCCAGGGCGCCCTGGGGGCGCGGGGAGGGGCTCTTGGCGCAGAGTTCTTCCTACGAGTAAGGCCCTTGGTCGCTGATAGATAGTGGGGGTTGGGCTAGTCCCGGTCGTTTCCTCTGGTTCCTGGACGCCCGGTGAAAGGCGGCCTTCTGTGTTTGTGTGGTCAGGGTCAGCAGCCCGGGTACCCCCAGCCGAGACTGCCGCAGCCCCTGGCAGAGGGGGACCTGGTCGGCCGAGGACGGCAGAGAGGAGCAGTGGGGGCCGCAGCCAAGTCACAAGGTGAAGCAGGGCACCGGGGAGGCTCTCCAGGCCTGCCGACGGGGGCGGGAGGCCGCCGTGCAGAGGGTGTGGGGTTTCTTTCTCCCTGACGACAGGGACGATGGACTCACAGCCAGCCAGCAGCTTCCCTTTGAGCATTAATCTGCCTCTTTCAGAGCAGTGATCTGGCAGCTTGGGGATGGCATCCCAGGCAGGACTGCCTTCAACACACGTGTAACTGTTCACATGTGTTCTGCACACGAGTGACCTCGTCACTTAGGTCCTTATTGCCACAGCTGTTGGAACTAAGCAGGAACTGACTTATTAATACCTGACACCTGTCCCCAGGTGACAGGTGTGATGGGGTACACACAGGTGCCTGTGTCCACGCTGCTGGGGCTCAGTGAGATTTACGTTTTCTAATCCGGGGTGTAGATTTAAACCCTCTAAGCTGCCATTCCTTGCAGCCATGACTGCAGGGTGACACGTTGTGGAAAGAGTGTTAAGGTCCTCAGGGTGTGGAATACAGACAGCCCTCTCTGTCTGGCCGTGCCCTCAAACCAGAGCCCTGTGCCTGATGTTGCGGAGGTGCACGTGTCCTGCAGGGGGCCCTGAGTCTGCTGAGGGCTTGGTAGGGATGCCGCGGTGCCTCAGACCCTGCTCCCTGGCTGCCGCAAGTGTGGGGAAAGTGGTATGGGGTCCGTGTGTGTTCCCTGAGGGTGCTCTGGGCTATCTCGTGGCCCTGTGGGAACCGCTTTTGTAGGCTGATGTTTGGTGCTGCCAGGTGCATGAGCTGCTTTTCTCTTTGTGTTTAAGAACTCCAGATATCTGCTGGGTTTCAGGAGCTGTCGCTTGCAGAGAGAGGAGGGCGCCGTAGGGACTTCCACGATCTCGGTGTGAACACGAGACAGAACCTAGACCATGTCAAAGAGTCCAAAACTGGTGGGTTAAATAGCAGTTCCCTTTCAGGGGTCACTTTCGAGTGCTCAGAACACTTAGTCTTTCCTGCCACTCAGGGGGTGTGTTACATGTGGTAGGGGCGGTGGCTGGGCTTTCTGTATTCTCTCCCCTGAAGCTCTGATGAGGCAGCTGATAGCTGTCTTTGCATGATTTGAAAGTTGTTTGGTTAGGCACTACCCAAGGCCCTTGTACAGAGAGCTCGGCTGGTGGTGTGCCCGTTGCCCAGTGCAGTGAGGACCTGTTTGCCTGATTGTTCACCTTCCGTGGAGAGAAGGCGTGCGTGGTCCCCAAGGCCAGGTGTCTAGGCGCTCGGATGTAGACTGCTGTCCCCAGCTCTGCCAGCTCGGTCCCAGGAGGGCACTGAGTGTGGCTGCCCCTGCAGGCTCCTCGGGCATCATTGTGAGGCTGAGCACCAACCACTTCCGGCTGACCTCCCGCCCGCAGTGGGCCCTGTACCAGTACCACGTGGACTACAACCCGCTGATGGAAGCCCGCCGCCTCCGCTCCGCGCTGCTCTTCCAGCACGAAGATCTCATTGGAAGGTGTCACGCTTTTGATGGAACAATATTATTTTTACCTAAACGACTGCAACACAAGGTTATTGCACATGTGTGGATGGGAGAGGGAGATGGGGGCTTCCAGCTCAGAGCAACACTGGCAGCTTTTGGGGAGACCCAGGGTCTGGGGGACTAGTGACCAGCCCGAGGCCACTGTGGCATCACCGTGTCCTCCTGTGTCCCAGACACTGAAGGGCCGCAGCTGTACTGTGCCGAGGGACCCTGACCTCTCTTCCCGTGACGCCTTCTAAAGACTCCCTTTGAGCCAGGCTCAGAGCTATGCCTTTCCCTTGCCTTCCTCGTGACAGGGCAGTTTGCCCCTCACCACTAAAAGCTGGGTCTCCACCTCTCTGGCTTCAGGTCACCGAAGTGTTCAGTCAGACCCGGAACGGGGAGCGTGTGAGGATAACAATCACGCTAACCAACGAGCTCCCGCCCACGTCGCCCACCTGCCTGCAGTTCTACAACATCATCTTCAGGAGGTGTGTGTTTCCTCCGTGTGTCACCAAGCAACGTTCAGGGTCCAGTTCAGTACTAGAGTGCCTGCCTGGCATGCAGGTGGCCCTGGATCAGCACCCCAGGGATAGAGAAAGCTTAAAACACAGAAAAGTTAGAAGAACTAAACACCTACTGCCCAAGTTCAGGTTACTGAGTTTCTCTGACCTGTAACTGCTCTAAGCTGTGCTTTTCTGGTGAAGCACTATTCTTTGGTCTCACTGTCCCGTCCGCAGTGTCCCTGTGTGTGTTGACCTGCACTTTTCGCAGTGTTGTTTGAGCTTGTGCTAGGAACCTGCTTCTCCTGGCTCCAGCCGTTCCCCCTGTGGGTGCCAAATCCCACCGCAAGATGCCGCTGCAGGCTGAGTAGCTGGCTTGCAGCTTGCAGGCCGTGCTTTCCAGGGTGTTCTGTCCCCTCCTGGGGGCATAGCAGCAGCACGGGGGTCTGCTGTGGTGTGTGACTCACCTTGAGTTGCTGACGGGTCGCTGTCCCTTTGGCAGATCCACGTGAATGTCATTGGCAGAACATTATTCCCTAAATGCAGGGGCAGCCGACCTGCCCGCACAGGGCCTCGGCGTCCCATGCATGCTCCACTCCACCACTGCCCAAACTGTGTTCCAGTAACACTGCACTGGCACCAGCCATGGAGACAGACTCCATACACTTCATATGCCCTTGAAATAACCGTTAGATGCTTTAAAAACCTTGAAAACCTTTGTGATCTCTCAGGCCAGCTGAAAATACCCGGTGTTGGCCTGGCCACAGGGACAGCTTGCCAGCCCTGCTCTAAGCCTTACGACCTTCCGTAGATCATGTGAGATGCTGTCAATGCTCACTGCTCTGACCGTCTGACTTTCAATTTCTAGGCTCCTAAAAATCATGAATTTGCAACAGATTGGACGGAATTACTATAACCCGCATGACCCGATTGACATTCCAAATCACAGGTCTGTGTGCGTCTCAAGCACGTGGGGCGCAGAGTGGGGTGAGAAGGGCATGCTTGTGCCTGCTTCCCAAGGGCACAGTGTGACGTGGCGGGTACAGCACAGACCCCTGCCCAGCTGTAGGTCTGCATCTCACTCTTGGGTAAAGACCATGAGCTTGCGCTGCTCCCCGGAGAGCAGTTAGAAGGCACAGAGGACGGTGCAGTCAAGTATGGGCTCTGAAAAGGGGATTTAGAAAAGAGCTTGCATGCTGGCATGGCAGTGCATGCCTATAATCCAAGCACTGGGGGAGCTGAGGCAGAAGGATCGCTGGGAGTTCCAGGCCAGCCTGGGCTACATTGTAAACTCGAGGCTAGCATGAACTATACAATGAAACCCTATGTCCAAAAAAAAAAAAAAATCAAAAGGGGGCAGTGAGTGGTAGTGTAGTTATTAGTGCAATTAGCCATATTAGTAGCATGGTTCTGGCTGGTAATGACTTGTGTGCTTTGTAGATGATTATCTCCATTCTAACACATTATCAAAAGCCTCAGAAAGCTAGGTCTCCACCTGGACCCCTCGAAACTTGGAAACAGGGAAGTGGACTTGGGCATCTGTGTGCGGCCCCCAGGCACAGGGCGGGCAGGGCAGTATGCAGAGTGCTGCGTGAGCCGCCTTCCCCTGCCCGGGGCGCTGCGTGAGCCGCCTTCCCCTGCCCGGGGCGCTGCGTGAGCTGCCTTCCCCTGCAGGTTGGTGATCTGGCCTGGCTTCACCACCTCCATCCTGCAGTACGAGAACAACATCATGCTGTGCACGGACGTCAGCCACAAGGTGCTGCGCAGCGAGACGGTCCTGGACTTCATGCTCGCCCTGTACCACCAGACCGAGGAGCACAAGTTCCAGGAGCAAGTGTCCAAAGAGCTGATAGGGCTGATTGTTCTGACCAAGTAAGCCTGCGCTCGGCCTGCAGACAGCCTTTCTGCCGTCCCCACGCGTGACTCAGTGCTGCGGTGCTGGAAACCAGGGTTGGCCTTGAGTGGGCGTGGCAGGCGCCGTCAGGGCCACGCTGCTGCTGGGGTAGAACCCGTCTGGAAGGCAGCTAGCTAGTGCCCTGGTCCTGTCGGTTTCCAGCAGTCAGTGGGCTGGGCACCTCGGCCCCACGCAGACCTGGCTGTCCCGGGGTGGGCCTCTTCAGCTAGCGTCCTGCGTGCTGGGAGACAGGGTTGGAGCACCGTGCCGCCTGTCGCGGTTAATGTCTCTCCCCCGAGTCAGGCGAGTGCCTCTGACCACACTGGTCCCACAGGTACAACAATAAGACCTACCGGGTGGATGACATCGACTGGGACCAGAACCCGAAGAGCACCTTCAAGAAGGCGGATGGCTCAGAGGTCAGCTTCCTGGAGTACTACCGGAAGGTAGGAGCCCGTCCGCACCGTGCGAGGTCACGTGCGACTTGTGTGAATGTAAGCGTGGAAGATGGGCAAGGCTCAAAGCAGCGCACGCTGACAGCTCCCCCGACTGCCCGCTCTGTGGCCACTATTTCCCTTCCACCTGAGGGGCCAGCACTGCAGGCCGTGGCAGGCAGGCCCTAGCTGTGATTCCCCCACTTCCGGTTGGTCTCCTGCCTAAAGCAGGGACAGCTGGCACTGTCGCCCCATGCTGGGCAACAGCTGGGCTGTGCCAGGAGCAGGATGCACACTGGGTTCTCGGCCCTGGCTCCTTTTGCTTGCCACCAGGGGCCCAGGGTCTGCAGTGGATACCCTTCCCAAAGGGGCGGGCAGGGCACTGGGTAGCACGCTTGGCACTGCAGCGACAGCAGTGTGAGGAGCAAGTGGCACTTTGGGATTAAAGGTGAGACCTGGGAAGCACTGGTGCACAGGCGGCCAGCACTGTGAGGAAGCAGACGTGGGGGCAGCGGGGTAGTTGGCGGGCATTTGCGGAGGTCCTGAGTTGGGGAGGGGTGGGTGTGCCGAGGTTCTGCTCTGGACCCTGGCCAAGGCCCTCAAGGAGGTAGAGGGGCTCAGCTGTGTGTGCCCCGCCTGTGCCCTGCCCAGGTGCCCTCACTGAGGTAGGAGAGCCGCCTCTTCCTACATGTTGGTCCAGCAGGGGACAGAGGGGGAGTCAGGCCAGGACCGTGCACGGCTCCTTCCCTCCTAGGCTCACGATGGTGGGCAGGGCCTTGGCATGGAGGAGGCGGCCAGGCAGGTGCCTCTGGGCCCAAATTGTGCAGGGTATGAGGGATGTCACTGGGCCACAGAGCGATAGGTGGGAGGGTGTTCCTGACGTGGGCCGGGCCTTGGTGAGACTGCCTGGCCGGTGGGCTCAAGGCCGGAAGGACGGAGCAGGCCCAGAGGATGAGGGTGTGCTTTGCGGACAGCAGAAGCAGAGCCCAGCTGTGCTGGTGGCTCTGTGAACGCTGAGGGCCGCCTCCGCGAGGAGAAGGCTCCTGGCCGTTGGGCGAACCGTGCCCTCCTCTTCCCCTCGAGCAGCAGTACAACCAGGAGATCACCGACCTGAAGCAGCCGGTCCTGGTGAGCCAGCCCAAGAGGAGGCGGGGCCCTGGGGGCACCATGCCCGGGCCTGCCATGCTCATCCCCGAGCTCTGCTACCTCACAGGTGCGCCCCACTGGCTCTCAGGCCTCTCCCCGCCCCTCCTGCCCGCCCGCCCTCTCCCTACAGCGCTGTGAATGAGCGGAGCGCTGTGTCCGCAGGCCTGACCGACAAGATGCGGAACGACTTCAACGTGATGAAGGAGCTGGCAGTGCACACACGGCTCACCCCTGAGCAGCGGCAGCGGGAAGTGGGCCGCCTCATCGACTACATCCACAAGTAGGCCGGCACCGTCCCACCGTCCCTGGCCTGTCCCCTGCCTCTTCCCCTGAGCCCCATGCCTCTGAGACCTGTCTCTCAGCTGGCTGCTGTGCGGGTGACAGTCCGGGCCTCAGGGGTCTGAATGCAGAAAGGGGTGCTGGGAGGAGGAGCTGGGTGTGGTGGAGATGAGACCCCGTCCCGCCCCATGCTGTGGGGCGTGGCAGTGGGCCCGTGTGGACCCGGCTTCCGTGCAGCCCGCGCACGCTCAGCAGCAGTGCTGCGTCCCCTCCGCAGAGACGACAATGTGCAGCGAGAGCTGCGAGACTGGGGCTTGAGCTTTGACTCCAACTTGCTGTCCTTCTCGGGAAGGATTCTGCAAGCAGAGAAGATTCACCAAGGTGGGAGAACGGTAAGGCCGCTCCAGGAGGGCCGAGCTGAGGGCGTCTGGGCCAGGTCGCGGGGAGCAGGCAGGCAGCTCATGGCACCCTGCAGGAGCCTGGTGGAAGCCCAGGGGACAAGGGGACTGTAGCCTGGCCCACCAAAGGAGCCAGGGTATCCCTGGAAGCGGGCTTCCTTTCCTGGGCGACCTGAGTGGCCTAGTGTAGAGTAACTCCAGTAGCATCAGCATTGCTTTTGCACTAAGGTGACCCTTCGCGTGGAAAGCGCCCCATCTACAGGCCCCACCTCTGCCCAGGCCATCTGTGTGGAGAGATATGTACAAGCGTTCTGAAGTCTTTTATATTGTGTCAAAGGAAAAGGAAGTATTTTAAAAATATTTTTGTGTAATTAAAGCACTGCGAATGTGAAAAATTCAAGCCTTTTGCTAGCAGACTGTGCCTTCCCTCCCTCCACCTGGTGCTGCAAGCAGCGACCAACTGACCTAACCGTGAGGGAGCTGCGTGCCTGCTGGTTCCTTGGCCCCTGGGAGGACGGCAGGAGCGGGGAGGGCGGGAGGCCCAGGGCCCCTCCTGCCTGGCTCTGGCCGTCTGGGAGCTGGGCTGGCTTTCAGATCAGATGCTCAGGCTGCTAAGTGGCACATCTCTGTGATGAGGAAGTGGGCCCCTGCCCTTGTCAGACTTTAGACAGGATGGAGAATTCACCCAGGAGCGGGTACGGGGACAAGGAAGCCAGTCAGTGTGGGTCTATTTGAATAGAAGTGTCACCATCCATTGGGCGCTTTGCTGTATGTTTGGAGGGGCTTTTGAGACAGGTCTTGCTGTGTAGGGGAGGCTGGCCTTGAATTCACAGCAGCCTTCCCGCCTCACCCTCTCACGTGCTAAAAGCACAGGTAGGCAGCACTGCACCAGCTCTGGGTGACGTGCTGGCTGTTTCCCCCCTGGGGGTCTGGGGTCTGTCGCTCTGGTTCTGGCTGGAGCACAGCGCAGGCCAAGGCGGAATCCCTGGAGCCCGCGCGCCTCACGGTGCCTGTGTGCTGTCTCCTAGTTTGACTACAGCCCGCAGTTCGCAGACTGGTCCAAGGAGACCCGGGGCGCCCCGCTCATCAGCGTGAAGCCGCTGGACAACTGGCTGCTGATCTACACGCGAAAAAATTATGAAGCAGCCAACTCACTGATACAGAACCTGTTCAAGGTTACGCCGGCCATGGGCATCCAAATGAAGAAAGCCATCATGTGAGTGCGCCCGTCCCTGCCGGTCTGCAGAGGCAAGCGGGCGCAGGGCGGAGGGCGGGGGCTCTGAGGCGGGCTGCTGATGCCCTGTCGGCAGGGTGCGTGTGCCGGCCCCTCCTCGTGCAGACAGGTGTGCAGAGGGCCCGTGGGCGGCACACTGTTCACACGCACGTTAGCCCTGCTGTGCCAGCCACTCCTCTGCCCAGGGCAGCACGTGGCATCTGCCCTTGTATTTTACATGGAAATGCTCCGGGCGTCCAGGCTCGCGGCCCCCTCTGAGTGCTGCCCCGTGTCCTTGCCCTAGGATTGAGGTGGACGACAGGACGGAAGCCTACCTCCGCGTCCTGCAGCAGAAGGTCACCTCGGACACACAGATAGTGAGTGTGGCGGGCCGCCTACGGCACAGAGCTTTCCAGTGTGGCTAGGCCTCCCAGGAGGTGCAGGCCCACGTTGCGCTGCCTGGGCCCTGGGCTAGTGCTGTGTTAGCGGGGTGCTGGAGGTGGCTCTGGTGCACCCTGCCACCGGCGAGGGAGGGCAGGGACACGGGGCCCTTGTGTGTCCTAACCCCGAGTTTCTGTTACCCTGCGAAGCAGCAGATGGGCCCCAAAGTAAGAGTCAGCACACACAGGAGGACAGGGCGAGCGTGGGAGGCGAGGGCCAAGGGCACCCAGCCAGCCAGGCGGGGAGTGGGCAGTGTGGCGTCCCCTGCTCAGGGTTGAGAAGGGAGGTCGGACAACAGCAGCGCACATCGTTGATGGCTTTGGGCTGGATCCGGAGCCGGAGTCTTGAGCAGTTTGGCTTTTCGGTCACATTTTGTGGCCTGGGTGGTGTGGACCCTGGAGCCGAGTCACCGGCCACATGCCTGAGCCGGCCGCGAGCGAGACCCCAGCCGGTGCCTGGCTGGCCTTGCTCAGTGCAGAGCCAGCAGCAGCCCGCTCGCAGGGACCGACCGCGCAGGCTCCTCGGAGGGCTCGCGGGAGCTGAGCGCCGGCCCCGTCCTCCGGGCTGCGTCCCTGTGAGCCCTGCCGCTGTGGGGATGGGTGTGACATTGTTCTTGCTGCTCGCTGGCTGGCACCTAGAGGGCAGCCCTCACAAGCACAGGGGACAGCGCCACCGTGTGCCAGCTGTGCCGCTCCCCAGGCTCGCTCTGCGGGCGCCTCGGGCCCTGCTCTGGGGTGGGGGCGGGGCCAGGGTGGTGCGAAGGTTCCTGCCGGGACTCGGCCTCCTGCAGAGCGTCTCGCCCTGCCCTCCCGTCCCAGTCACTGACCGGCCCGCCCGCCCCTGCCATCACCAGCCTCGAGTGCTGAGGCAGGGTGTGCTGCGCTGTTGGCCCTGAAAAGAGCCGTTCCGTGCCCCTTGAGGGCCGGTGGGACGTGGGCTGGCCCTGCTGGGCCCCACGTGCACGCCGCGGCGGCCCCTCTGGCACGGCCGTCGGGTGGTTGCTGGAGCTGGAGCTGGCGTGCAGACACGTCGTGCTGAGCACGTCCCTGGTGCTCTCTAGCCTGCGATGCCGCGGGTCTGCGGAGGGTCAAGTGCTGAGTGCGCCTGAGACCGTGCGGGGAGGGCGGAGGTCCGCTGCTGGGGCCACGCAGAGACTCTGAGCCTGACCGCCGCTCAGCCTGGTCTCTGAGGGGATTAGTGGAGCAGAAGTGATCCTGCGGTGACGGTCACTGGTTTCCACCTCGGGCTGCTTTTCAGAACCAGTGGCGGCTGTTGCTGGCTTGCATGGAGGCATTCAGGCCCTGGGCTGTGGGAAGCAAGTGCAGGAGGGCGCCCCACTCCTGAGTCGTCCCCTAGGTCCCGGGCCCTCGATCAGAGGGGCAGAGACACACAGTGAAAAGCCACCTGGCCTCTTGCCTCAGCTGGCCCTCGCTGAGCTTCAGTGTGTCCTTCAGCGGCACAGGCAGATCTTGTTGGGGGCTGTAGGAAGGAGACCAGACCCCAGAATCTGTTCCAGGGACTACAGCAGGGAGCTCAAGAGCTGGGTGTAGCTCAAGAGCTGGCTGGGGACGTGCGGCTCGGGCGCTCCGTGTTGACCTCAGAATGCCCACAAACTTGCTAGGACAGTTTGTACTTTGATCCAAACCCCAAGCCAGAGGTCCTAGGGGCACCGTCAGGTAAACTGGTGACGTTTTAGAAACCGTTCATCGCTGCTCGCGCTTCCCGTCCTGTGTCGGAATGACACCGAGCCGCTCGAGGCCGTGCTTGGCTGAGGTCTCCTGCGTGACCGGGGTTAGGTCCGGGGCCTTGCTGCTGTGCCTGCATTTCCCCTGTGCATGCAGTGGTCACCTGGGGGACGTGAGCTGTGGTGTCTCAGCGCGGTCCGTGTTGTACCGAGAGGCGACTGAACAAGTGTGGTGCTGAAGTCCGCAGGTGACTCACCGCCGCCGCCGCCGCCCCGCCATGGGGCCTGCAGCGCCAGTTTGGGTGCCGCGGCTCCCACAGCAAGCAGCCCGCGCTGTCTCTAGGCGCAGCGCCTGCCTTTATCTGCTCTTCCCCTCTTTCTGTCTAAGCTCACTCTGCACTTTCTCTCCCACTCTTCACTTTTACTTTTTCCAATAAACTTTGCCACTGCTTTTTTGTTCAAAGAAAAGAAAAAAGAAAAGAAGGAGGCATTTTGTTTGTCTCCAGGTTGTCTGTCTGCTGTCGAGTAACCGGAAGGACAAATATGATGCCATCAAGAAGTACCTGTGCACGGACTGCCCCACGCCCAGCCAGTGCGTGGTGGCCCGCACCCTGGGCAAGCAGCAGACCATCATGGCCATTGCCACCAAGATCGCCCTGCAGATGAACTGCAAGATGGGCGGCGAGCTCTGGAGGGTGGACATGCCTGTGAGTGTGGTGTCTCGCGAAGGCGCGTTGGCAAGGTGGGCATCGGAGACAGATTTGCCGTCCAAGGCCTGCCAGCGCACTGCCTCTGAAATGCCGCTGTTCTCTCTGCAGCTGAAGCTGGCCATGATCGTGGGCATTGACTGCTACCACGACACCACTGCGGGCCGGAGGTCCATCGCAGGATTCGTCGCCAGCATCAACGAAGGGATGACCCGGTGAGTAAGGACAGAGCCGGGGTGGTCGGACCAGGCTGAGAGCCGTGCGCTGCGCCCTGTGGCAGTCAGACTTGGCGTGTGACCGGCGTTGGGGTCCGTCAGCTGTGGCCTCGCTGAACCTTCTTTAACACTTGTGTGGCCCCCGAGAGGTGACTTCACATTCTCAGTGTAGAAAAGCCAGTCTAGCCAGGCACTGGGCTCCGCCCGGTAAATGCCCTGTCGGTGCTTTTCTTGAGTTAAGGGTTGGTAAGGGTGGCAGAGGACGCACGTGGCAGGTGTCTTAGTTGCCTGTTCCTGAGGGTCCCCGGGCCTCTGAAGTGGATTGGGTGCTGGAGCGCAGGCGCAGGTGTAGTCAGGGTGTGTGGGGTGCGCCTGGTGGCCCCTGTGGGTGTGGTGGTGTCATCCGATACTCCCCCTGCAGGGTCGCTGTGGCCTCAGAGCGAGGGAACGCTCTATCGTGAGCTCCGCGGGCTTGCTTTCCCGAGGGCGTCCTGTCTGGCTGCCGGGCTCGGGTTGTGTGGCGTGTGGGAGGGACAGGCTCTGGGGGGCTGTGCGCTGGGTTGGGCGTGGGGCGCAGGCCTCACCTGAGTGCTTCCCTGCCCGCAGCTGGTTCTCTCGCTGCGTCTTCCAAGACCGAGGCCAGGAGCTGGTAGACGGGCTCAAGGTGTGCCTGCAAGGTGGGTCTGCGGCAGGAGCCTGGCCGGCGGGAGCAGCACCATGCTGCCCTACGTGTTAGTCTGTGAAACGTGCTGCTTGCTTCCAGCGGCGCTGCGGGCGTGGAACAGCTGCAACGAGTACATGCCAAGCCGGATCATCGTGTACCGGGACGGCGTGGGTGACGGCCAGCTGAAGACGCTCGTGAACTACGAGGTCCCCCAGTTCTTGGATTGCCTGAAGTCCCTCGGGAGAGGCTATAAGTAAGAATGCAGGGTGTCCACGCCTGTGGGGGCAGTGTTGAGACACGGAGGGGCCGGAGGGCACCCGAGGGTGGATCGGCCAGGCTCGAGCGGAGGCCAGAGACGGCTGCTGAGCAGCAGCAAGGGCCACCCCTGCCCCGGAGCCTCTGTCACAGGCCTGCTGCTGGAGCTGTGTGAGCAGCTGTGAGTGTGGCGATGGCGGGGGCCCGGCGTGGGCGGGCAGCATGCGGGCCCTGCTCCTGGCCCACACTCAGCCTGCCGGCCCTGCTCATCGGAACACAGCTGCACTTTGGCGTGAGGCGAGGGGTGCCTGGGAAATGCTGCGGGAGCGCGAAGCCCCGGTTAAACGTCTGCACGCACTCTGCGAGCCGGACCCGCTTGCCCTCTAACTGAAGCGCTGCTGTGGCTTGTAGGCTGCGATGTAGTTAGCTGACCCGGCGTTCGCGACCTGAGGACAGGTGACGCGCCGTAACGTGTCCTCCTGCCATGCGTGCGCGGCATTTCCGTGTCCTGGCAGTGACACGCACACCTTGTGTGTTGGCTCCTGGCCTGGAGCTTATTTAGGATTCGCGGCTGTCCGCGCCTGCAGATCCTGCTGAGCCGAGGCCAAGCATGGCACAGGCCTTGCAATGGGAAGCCCAGCGCCCGCCCACCCGGCCCACTGTGTGGGGCCCATGTGCCCCGGCTCAGCCACGCCCCTGCCCCCTCCGTGCTTCCACGAGGGCTCCTTGGCCTGGCCCTGAGGAGGCCCTGGGCTGCCCTCTCGCCCCTGCTCCACTGCCCGGTGCTGGCGGGCGTGGCCCCGGATCCGGGTCCTGGAGGAGCAGAACCTGCCCTCTGCCCATGGCTCCTGGTCCTCTCACCCAGGCTTCCCCCCGCAGCTTTGCCGCGGCTGGGGACCTGCTGGAGCCTCCCCAGCGGGGCGGATGCAGTGCAGGCTGGGAGCCAGCCGAGGACAGCGCGGTCCCCCCACCTCTGTGTGTGCGGGGCAGGCCCAGGCAGCCTGTCCTCCTGCACACATGTCACTGTCGCGCGCCCGCCCTTGGTTGCTGGGGACGGGGATTTGAAAGGCAGCAGGTGAGCTTCGGAGCAGCTTGAAGTGGCTGACAGGGTCCACAGGCCACGTCTCACGAGAGCTCTAAGCCCTGCCGCAGAGGCCTGAGAAGGGGCAAGCTGGGCCTGTGGGCACGGCTCCCGTCCGGCTCATGTCAGGGCATGTGGGCATCGGCCGCGGCATCCTTGTCCTGTCCAGAGGCAAGAGTCCAGGCTTGCCTCTGCCCAGGCAGGGGACCTGCATAAGAGGGGTGCTGGCTGAGAGCAGGGGCGGACAGGACTGACCAAGTGACCCCTGTCCTTCTTCCTCGAGCCCGAGGCTGACGGTAATCGTGGTAAAGAAACGTGTGAACGCCAGGTTTTTTGCGCAGTCCGGAGGAAAACTTCAGAACCCCCTCCCTGGGACTGTCATCGACGTGGAGGTCACCCGGCCTGAGTGGTGAGTCCTGCTGGGGACAGTTTGGTTTCTTCAGGCGTGACCTTCCAGGGGCATCCGCGTGAGCGGGCCCACGGCACTGCGGGGTCTCACTCACACCTAGACCTCCTCACGGAAACCCACGGTGTCCACGTCTGGCACCTGTGCACTGGGGAGGACCCACGAGTCAGGCACCGCCTCTGCCGTGGCAGCTGCCACCTGCCTTTGCTGTGACCTCACCGCCCACAGGCGGTTTTCCGGTGCAGTGTTTACGTGTGTCACGCACGTTGGCACTCCAGAGCTCAGAGTCCAAGACAGTGGCCCGTGAGGACAGTGCTGCACCTGACATGGCTGTGCACACAGCCGGCAGCCACCCCGCCGTGAGCCTGGGGTGTGCGTGTAGGGAGACCCCTGTCCTGCCTGGGCAACTAAAGAGTCTATGCGGAGACTGCAGAGCCGGAAGCGTTTCTGGCCCAGGCATCTGGAACGGGACGGGCGATGTAGCTCACACGGACAGATGACGCTCGATAGTCGCTCCGTCAGTCGGCTCCGGAGTTCGCCAGTGGGCAGCTGTCTCGGGGCCCCGGCCTGCAGGTCCCCACGGCAGGCCTGCTACTCTCTAGCTCAGCTCAGCTCTGCTCTGACGGCCAGGTGCCCTGACCCGGTCCTGTCCGGGAGCGGCTGTGGGTGGGCAGGCCCACTCAGCTTTCCTTTCGGACCCCTCGACCTTCCCAGCAGGGAGTGCCGTGCAGGCAGAGTCGGGCCCTGTAGTTGGGAGGGCACAGTGGGCTGCAGAGCTCACGTCCTCCTGTCCGTGGGGGTCGCATCGTGTCGTGCTCCCTGCACATGGCAGTGGTGCCAGGAGGAAGAGCTGACATTGCTCACCGCCCCCCCCCCCGTTTGTGTCGTGCACGCCGGTTCTGCTCAGCCCCCCCGCGCCCCCTCCTCTCAGAGCTTTGCTCCAAACCCTTAATGCTGAAACTCAGGCGGCTTTGCCAGAAGGTGAAGGGAGCGGCAAAGGGGAAAGAAAGGTCCACGGCGGGTCTTGTCCAGGAGCCCTCCCACCCCCACCCCGCCAGCAGCCCAGAGCCGCTGCGGTGACCCTGTCCCCCGCCCCCGGCACAGCTGGGAGCGGGCCCGTTGCGGCCTAAGACGGTGACTTCCACTCGGTGCGCACAGCCCAGGTGGCTCCCAAGTAGCGTCTCCTTCAGCGGGGCCGGGTCGGGTGCGCAGGGCCCGCGGCCTCACGGGCCTTTCCGCAGGAGAGCCCGCCTCCTGTCACCGCAGGTACGACTTCTTCATCGTAAGCCAGGCTGTGAGGAGTGGCAGCGTGTCACCAACACACTACAACGTCATCTATGACAGCAGCGGCCTGAAGCCGGACCACATCCAGCGGCTGACGTACAAGCTCTGCCACATCTACTACAACTGGCCGGTGAGTTTCCTGCGGCCACAGGCTCAGCATGGGCCCGGAGCGCGGCCTGAGCATGGGCCCAAGGGGCCAAGTGACGGGCTCCTCTCTCCCTGCACAGGGCATCATCCGCGTCCCTGCACCGTGCCAGTACGCACACAAGCTGGCCTTCCTGGTGGGCCAGAGCATCCACAGGGAGCCGAACCTGTCCCTGTCCAACCGCCTCTACTACCTGTGACCTGGCCCACCGCCACCCGCTCCCTCCCGGCCGTCTCGGACGGATGTTAGGGTTTTGCTGTTGTGTTTCTGGTGAAGCTTGGGAAGGGCCCGGCAGAGCTGGAGTTTATGTCTTTGTTGCTATATAATTTGGCTTCCAATTTGGCTTCCTTACTTTATAGGTAAAAGTTAAGACTTTAAGATTGTATCTTGCTGGTTTTTTGTAAGTATGTTGCGATGATCTGTTTGTTCTGAAAAAATGTGGATAAGGCACTTTGTATTATGAATGGACTTTCTTAAAGAAGTTGGAAAGTAGCTGGGCGCGGTTGCGCACGCCTGTAATCCCAGCACTGAGGGAAGCTGAGGCAGGAGGATCGCAAGTTCAAGTCCTGCCTAGGCAACCTAGCGAGACCCTGTCTCAGAAAATTTTAAAAGGGCTGGAGATGTAGCTCAGTGGTAGAGCACCCCTGGGTTTTATCCCCAGTACTGAAAAAAGCAAAGTTAAAAAATGTTTGTGGGTTTACTTGAAAATACTTTGAGGAGTGTGCGAGTCCCATTTGTAAACCCACGTTAACTTCATTCTTAAAATGTTTGTTTTGCGTTTAAAGGAGGGGCTGGAGATGTAGCTCAGTGTTAGAGAACCTGCCGGCATTGGGGGTCTGGATTCCAGCCCCAGCACCACCAAAACACGGCTCCGGAGTTGAGAGGAGCAAAGGCATCGAGCAGGCCGCCGCCCGCACTGTGCAGGAGGCTGCGCGTGGGTGTCACCAGGGACCGCCGGCACAGAGGGGCCCGGCGGCTTGCGTTCGTTTCTTTTCAGGGTTAGGTAGTGGGGTTAAAAGAAAAGTACAGTTAGAAAGTTTGCGGTTTTGTCCAAAGAAATATTTTAAGACTTTAATGAAAATGGCCACCGATGAAGTTCTGTGTTAACATTAGTATTTATTTAATGTTACAAATGGGGTGTCATTGTCTGTTAGAAAATAAAAGCGATTGTCAGCTCATTGGAGTAACACTGCAGTTGTTATTTTTTGGAAGTGCCTTTTCTTCCTGCTGCTCCACGCTGCTGAGGGGGCTGCCGGGCGCGAGGGGGCGTGCGCGCGGGTCCGCGGGGCCGGGATGACAGCTGCCCACAGCCGCGTGCTCACAGTGCTCTCCAGCAGCCCCTTCAGAGAGGAGGGGTGAGGCGGCGGGTCCTGGGTCCCAGGAGGCCTGGAAGGGTGGCTTCCCGACGGGACGCACCAACACGTCGTGATGCAGCTCGGCCCCAGGCCAGTGCCCCCCCACCGACAGCTCGGTGAGGCCACCGCGGTGCGCTGCTGCGCCGCCCGGGGGCACCTGCAGCCTCTAAGGCGCCACGAGCGGAAGACGCTTTCCCTCGGGTTCCTGCGCCTCGGCCCGGGCAGCGCAGCCCCTTCGCGAGGCTCTGGGTTCCCAGGCCCCGAAGACACGGCTCCCGTCTCGGAAAGCCAGGCCCGGGCCGGCACGCCCTGCGGCTGTCGCAGGGCTGGGAAGGAAGGAAGGCGCTCGGCTGCGCCACGCTCATCCGGGCTGAGGGCTTTGATTTACGGGCCTCGGGGCTGCTCGCTAACTTAGGCCCTTAAAGCCTGTGCTTGGAAGGCGCGAGCTCTCCTCACAGGGGAGCTCGAGTGTCCTCAGAACCTGAGAGAAGGGAGCTGGGCCGCTTCTCCAGCAGCTGTCGTGACCCAGCGAGCCCCTGTGACTGCCGTGGCTGCGGGCGTGGGGCAGGCGCTGCTGGGGGTGGCCTGGGTCCACCTCCGTGTGAGGGGCGGGCTCCTAAGAGGTCCCCATGGCGGGGGCTCGGCTCAGCCCCGCCCCCAGAGGACGCCCCCTCCCCGGGCAGACGCCTGGGCTGACGTTCCCGCCAGGCCCGCGCAGGACACCTCACAGTCCCGGCCAGGCCGCCCGTTCCTGCTGCCGCTGCTGCTGCCACCGAACGCGTGTCCAGGACCAGCACTGCCCACGCAGCCCGGGCACTGCAGTCTGAGCTCGTGTTGGCAGAGAGCAGCCTCAGGAGCTGGGTGTGGCCCTGCAGCCGCGGGGCCAGGGGCCAGGGGCAGCGCCAGCCTGGGAACCGCCTGGTGCAGAGCGGGGCAGCGGGCTGGTGTCTGCCGTAAAGTGAAGCTTCCGCGCTCTCTGCCTGACTTCAGAGCTGTGAGCCCCAATTCCCTCGGAGCTGGCTCACGGCTGTGGCGTGCACTAAGGACACGGCCCGGCTTTGGCCCCTGCGCGGGGTGCAGCGAGGCGTGTCCCAGCCTGTCCTGTCCTCCCAGGGCACCATGCCTCGGCCCGGCCTCTGCCGCCTCCCACCGCTGCTGGGGCCTGCGGGCTCCCCCAGTCTGCCCCACCCGCACCCCTTGCCTTTCCCACTGCACTCATCTCCTCCTGAGCGTGGTGGGCCAGGTTTCTGTCCTGGACAACTTCATTGGAATTCTAGAACCTGTTTGTGATATTTGTGAAAAATCGAGACTTTTTGACTCCGTTTGAATGTGTGGAAGCATTCAGCGGAGCAGGCGCTCGCGGTTTCAGGGCTGCCCTCCCCCGGGACTGCTGCTCCATCCACATATGACCCGGCCCCCTCGACACTGAGCAGTGCTTGGTGGGCGGAGGGTGGCCCGTTGTCACCCGAGGCTGGGCCTCTCGGAGCCGGGCGTGGCAGTGTCGTGGGGTGAGTTTGCTGGTCCCCAGCTTGGCCCTTCTGGAAAGCCAGGCTGGTGCCTCAGTGCTCCCCTCCTGCCTCCCGCTGCTCCAGCCCCGGGGGCAGCCCCGAGGCCTGCAGTACAGGAGACGCGGGCTTCGGAGTTGTCATTTGTACCTGAGCGCTCTTCTAGCCAGCCCTGCCCGCTGGGAAGGGGACTGTGAGGTGCCGGCAGATGGCTGGGCTGGGCTTGGACCGCAGCTGTCCTCCCGAGGGGCCCGGCGGGGAGGGCGCCATCCCACGGCCATGGCACCACACACTGTCCTGTGTGGCCTGTGGGCCCCTCCTGTGCCACCGCCAGCTCCCTATGCCTGGGACCACGGGCCCTGGTCCCCAGCTTCCCTCGGGGGTGTGTATGTCGCTTAGGTTTTTCAGCGGTGACAGATGTGTGGTGAGGTGCTGAGTTTTTAAGTTGTTGCCTGCATCTCATTTGTTGGGTTCCTAACGAGCTTCAGTTAAAGGACATGAACACTTGTGAGGCTCCAGAAACGGCGAGGCCGCGTGTTCGAGGGGTCGCACACAGCAGTCACGGAGCTCGTGTCCCGCCCGCACCAGCATTTCACATCTCCACGCTGCCACTGAGGGTCGCGCACGTGGGTCACAGGTCTGCGCTCCTTCCGCTGGACAGGCTGAGCTGCGTGTCCGCGCACTCGTGACCGTCCAGGATGGGAGCCCGCGCGCAGGCGGGAACGCTCGGCGGGGCGTCTCAGAGCGGGCGGCCGCAGCTCAGCCCGCGGGGAGCCCTCTGCTCCTGGAGCTGCACTCTGCCTTCTCACGTTAAGTTCACCGGCACTGGCGGCGTGTTCTCTAGGTATTTCCGTGGTTTCCGTGCTAAGACGAGCTGCGCGTCCTTGCTCCGGCAGCCAGGCCCCAGTGCGTGTGCCGTGCGCGCTGAGAGCCGAGTGACACGGCCAGTGCGCTGCGTGAGTGCTCCGCCCTCCGTGCCTGGCGGAGAGCCTCTTTCCTGCTAGAGGGGGCTGACGCGCAGCTTTTCCCGCTTCCCACCACAGACTTCCATTCCCCCAGGCCTCGGCGGTGAGCTCACGCCACGTGACTGCCCGGTGACCGGGACGCCCCAAGACCCCCGTCCCTGCCAGCTTCCCCCGGCAAGGCACTGCCAGAGCTGGAGGAGAGTGGCCTGGGGCTGCACCGGGAGAGGGGGCAGGAGAAGGGGACGCGGGCCAGGGCGGAGCTGCGAAATGAGCACTAGCGAAGCTTTCTTCCCTAAGCACGGGTGGGCAGCGATGAACTGAGAATGCGGTGTCATCGCCGGGCGTCCCCCGGAAACAGTCTTAAAAGGCGGGGAGAGCACGGGAAGGGCACCTGCGGGGAGGTGGACGCACGCGCAGGGCGTGTGTGGCACATGGGACGGGGTCCTGACTCGTTCAGGCGCAGGTCACAGAACGACAGCGAAGCCCACTGACTCGCTCCCTGGCCAAGGAGGCCTGCGCCCGGCCTCCGCCCGCCGCCAGAGGGCGCAGCCTTGGGCTCCTTCACGGCACAGGAGCGGAGGGCTCCGTTCAGCTCTTGCTTACCCGGGCCTCGCACATTTTCCTATTTTATAGAAACACCAGTCCTGGCTACTTAGGGTGTTTTTCTTGTAAAGAAATTGATATCCGTTCTTCAGACGGCTTTTTCTGTGAACGTGTTAGGGGAAAACATAACGACGTGAATGCTGACATGGTGCTGATTGTAATTCTAGTCCCATGAAGTGATGTATTTGAACTAGATTGGTTTCACCTTGCTGTGAACAATGTTGTTTTCACCTCTTAATGTGCATAATTTCTATCGTTGGGAGAATTTTTAAATACTGAGGACCCTTAGGAAAATGTGTACTTGGGAAGTTTTATTTCATTGTATTACGCCCACGTGAGTTGGACTCTGCAGTTGCCAAAGGGTTAGGTTAACGTTTATTCTCAGCCTGCTGCGTTCCGTCACACAGGGTGCTTCCTGCCCACGTGACCCAGACTGGTCGCGTCCCTCGGCCCCTGGAGGACGGCCCTCGCTGCTGCAGCCACACGCCGGACGCGAGGCACCCGGGCGCCCAGGGCGAAGTTGGTCTTGAAAAACTCCCAGAAAAGAGAATTCCCAGTTTTTTTATTAGCATGTAGGAGAAAGACATTTGATTGTCCTGCCAGGATACGGTGTTTAAAACACAGCTACACAACAAATGGCATTGTATAAAATAACAAATTTTATTTATAGAAAATATCTTACGCTAACTGTACACATGCACACACCCACACAGTACCAAACCACACATAATTTTCCTTTTAATAAATCTACCACATACCGTTACATTACAGTTTACAGTAGCTTTTGGAGACACAATGGGGAAAGCTTTGTCACTGATTTATAAACCTTCCAGAAATTACAAAAGAAAGGCAGTCTTAAAAGTATGTATAAAGAGTAAAAACAATTACAAGGGGACAAGAATTACAAAATAGTAACCATCACATACATCGGTCAGCAACTCTGTGGTCTGCAGGGTGCAGGGAGGAGTGGGTGTGTGCTGCGCGTGTGCCGCGGGGTGGGCTGTGGCTCCTGACAGGGAGCGCAGCGAGCAGAGCTCCGTGCACCACGCACCCTCACACTGGGCGGGGCAGCAGCTCTGCCGGCTGGGCTCCCCGCGGCTCTTTCTGGGAGTCGCTACGTGAGCATCGTGTGTGTGTGTGTGTGTGTGTGTGTGTGTGTGTGTGTGTGTGTGTGTGAGAGAGACAGTGTGTGTATGTGTGGCTGGCTGGAAAGACTAAGGCGGTGTCTCCACTGCGCAGCCTGAGTAGGTGTGTCTCACTGCTGTGGGTGAGGGTGGAGACCAGGAACGCACGACACATGGGAGTAGACACTGCGTTTTTATTAGACAGTACAGCTCGTGTGCAGTTATAAGGCAGAACATCAAGGCGGACTGAACTAGGAATCTCAAGACCAGAGTCGAGGTGAGAGCTATGCATGTGACGCGAGCACTCTGGCAGGGCGGCGGGAGTCATTCCTTGGGGCGCACAGATGGATGACAAGGAGCCCGGAGCCCGGTGGGGAGGGCGCGGCCCAGAGCAACGGCCTCGGCCCCTCCCGCCTCCCGGCCAGACCTGGGCGGGACAGACCCTCGACAGCACAGCGTGGACAGAGGGCCCCAGCGGCTCTCTGCTCTGGCGGTGGCTTAGAGTGGATGGAGTGGAAAAGTGCGTGTCTCTACTGGTGTCAGGGGAGGAGGTGGGTTTTAGGAAGTGCTTGAGTCATGAGAGCCCTAGTTTGGAATTAAAGAGAATCACAGAGGTGTGGAAGCTGTCCGGAAGCACACGGGTCATTTCACCGCGCCCAGCCTTTTCAGCAGTTTCTTGCCTTTGGAAAGCAGCCCCTTTTTCTTTCTCGAGGACATTTCCCTGCCTCTCCCAGGACTACCAGAACCCATGGATGGCGTAGGTGACCCCGAATGGAGGTGGACTGTGGGGGATGGAGCTCTCCTTGCTGGCCCTGAACCCTCAGGAGGAACCTAGTAGGTACATTGTGACAGTTTATTGAGTGTGAGCACCTCCGACACCGATCCACTCGGCCACACCGCACCACCCGGCCCCGCCACGGGGAAGGAAGGGGTTCGTTTCTTCTTTCAAGGGTCGGAGTGCGCCCGGGCAGGCAGCACACCCCTCGCCCAAAGCAGCCTCCTGAGGCCTTGGCTTGGGAGAAGGGTGGCTGTCGCTTCGGCAAACAAAGCTAGGTCACAATTTACTCCGCGAATTCAGACTGAAAGCGGGGAAGGCGTTTGAGTCAGATTGATAGTCGGGCTGGCCGAGGACCCGTCAGTCATCTCAAGAGGGAATTTGGATGCGTTTGAGAACTACTTTGGTTATATAAAACCCTGATACTGTTCAATGCACTCTTGGGTTAGTTAGAAACTATAGAAAACACTGGAGATGGCACACCGGTTGAAAGAAAAAAAACTAAAACGAACCTTAATTACAATCGAAGAAAGCTTGAAGGCCCTTATTGTGCTTGCATTATTCCCCCGTAAACGAGCGGGACTTTGTCCCGGGGCACAGCACCGGGCGCATTTCCATGCTCCAGGCTTTAGGGGTGGCACCTTCCGCCGCCCTGCACGGGACCCCTGCCGTCACTCCACTCTCCCCGCACACCCCGGGAAGTGAGCGCTCCGTGTTCGGCAGCCAAGGGGCCTCAAGCTTGCTAGGATTTGGAATCAAGGTCTGGTTCTAATGGAAAACACCTAGCAGTGCGTCCCAAAGCACACCTGAAGATACCATGGTTCCCTAGTGCGGTCACGGGAGCTGCACGCGTCCAAGGCGTGGTATTGCATTGGTACCCACACGCGGCCGCATCTGCGTGTGTGCTCTGTGTGCTCGGCGGGGGAGCAAGGTAACGTGTGGTCACTGCAGTCCGGGCCAGCCCGGACCACCACGGCCACCCTCGTCTGCTTCGTCTTAAATTAGAGGGGGCTCCAGTTTGGTTTCAAAGTAAGACTTGGCCTAGTACACACACGGCTGGGTTGTGCTTTGTTGAGAGTGGCTAACAATGCAATATGCAGCTCCTGCTCAGAGTAGACAGTGAGCGCTCTATGTAAACAGACAGCTCGCTGGGCAAGAAATATGTTCCCAATGTCGGCCTTCCGAGCAGTGAGCGGAGCTCCCAGGGAAGGGCTGGGAGAGGGCGTGCTTCACTCCGCATTCAGTTGCTGTGCAACTGAGCCCCGTGGCAGCCTAACCCTTCGGACCCAGGCTTTGAGACATATTTCTTTGTTCTCTCTGAAAGCCCACAGCGAAGCCTTAAGGCTACCGCACTGGTCCGTGTCAGTAGCTTAAGTCGGTATCTCTCTAGGTGTCTCCGGCTGCTCACTTACGTGAAGGCTACATGCCTGCTTAGGGTGTGAAATGAACGCTCTTCTTCTGTGTCCAAGCAGATGACAGAGAAATAAAAATATATACGTAAAACATGACAGATAGGGACTCGCAGTGATGGTGTAAAGCAAAGATGAGAAACACGAGTGCGTGTCGCAGGCAGATGCGAGGGGGCGCTGCCGCCGTGCTGAGCCCTGGGCTCCTGAGGGGGGGCGTGCCCGGCTCGCCCTCCGTCACCTGAGTGTGCGTCTGTCGTGTGGGGCGGAAGGGCGGGCGCTCAGGGTCCTGTGTGTGCGGGGACTGACGGTCTGGGGGTGGGCTCCCGCAGTGAGCGCCTGGGCGGGCACCGCGGGCTGTGTGCTGCTCGGCCCCAGATGTGACGGCACCGCCACAGAGACCCCACGAGAGCACGCAGAGGGCGAGGCTGGGGCTGGGGGGTGTGCTTACCCTTTTGGCCTTGGCATGCAGGGCTGTGTCTTGAGAGCAGAGGGATGGGGCGTCGGAAAGGTAGACCTCCACGTCGTCAGGCACTTCTTCCAGGAAGTTGGAAGGCACCAGGCCTCGCTGCCCGTTCAGCTCCCCCTGGAAACACGGGCATAAGGAGCATGAGCTGGGCAGTGAGGGGGCCCCAGGGACGCCGGAACATGAGGTCTGTCACATGGGGCCTGACCAGGTGACAGCCCAGCCTGTCCACCCAGCGCTCTGGGAGGCTGAGGCAGGTACAGCACAGGTTTGAGCCCAGCCTGGGCAGCCGAACGACTTAGGAGAGCCTATCTCAAGACAAAAAGTAAAATGGGCTGGGGATACAGCTCAGTGCGAAGGCCCTGGGTTCAGTCTCCCAGCGGGAAAGGACAGGAGCAACTTGGCCAAGAGCTGAACATGCAGGGCCCGGCGAGGAGGCGCGGCCTGTCCACTCTTGGGCTGAGGCAGTCTTGGGGTGGCGCATATGGGAGCCACTCTGCGGACACTCCCTTCTGTGCGTCTCGAGCCCGCCGAGCCAGGTGACCTGGCAAGCTCAGGTCCTCGGGCCAGGGCCACGCAGGTGCCCTGCTGGCAGGAGGCCGAGCTGCGGGCCAGGCCTGGCTTCCCTCCCATGCCCCATGCACATCCTGTACCCACCAGCCCGCAGGTGCCCAGGCCAGGGCCCAGATGGGGCCCCTCGCTGCGTGCAGTGGTGCCTGTGGCCCCAGAGCTGGGAGTCCCTGGCACCCCAACAGCGCGGTGCCACCGTGTCTCAGAAGCAATCACAGCTGCCCCACCAGGCCGAGGGTGCAATGGGAAGGAGTCAGCCCGCTCTATCTGAGCCAAAGGGCGCCACGCAGTGCCAGGCCAGGCAGCAGAGACGAGGGGAGAACGCGCTCAGACACCTTGGGTCTGCGAAGCAGAAGAGCCAGCAAATGCAAAGGGCTCCTGCAGCCCAGCCAGGAAAAGACCAAATGGTAGACACTTCCCGACGCCAGATTTAGCTGGCCATGCACACAGCGGGAGATAGAGCGCCCCTCATCGCTGGAGAGGTGAGAATCAAAGCTGTGAGACGCTCCCCTCCCCTCCCCTCGCGCAGTCCCCGGTCCCCGTCCGCAGTCTGGCCACAGGGACAGCGGCACTGGCATCACAGGCTGATGGTCCTTCCTTCCCCAGACCCAAGGCACCCCAGAGAAAATCTCCAGAAACAGAAACCAGAACAACAGCAGCCAATAACGGCTCTGCGGGCAGGAATCCAGGCTGGGCCGGCCACTTGGCAAACGGTGGCTGCTCCTGAGAAAATTAAAACTAGAATCCTCCTGTGAGCCAACAGCTCCACTCCCAGTGCCCCGCCCCCCAGATCTGAAGGCAGCATCTCCAAAGGATACCTCGCACCTATGAGGGCAGCCACGTTGATCACAAAAGGTACCAGCAGCCCAAGCATGCAGGCAGAGAGTGAGGGGGCAAAGATGGTGCAGACAGACCGCCCTGCCGGAAAGGGGCGAGGTCACGCCACGCCCCGCCATGGCGGCCTGAGGGAAGTGAATCAGGCACAAAGGACAAACACTGCTAGTGCCCACTGAGGGGTGTCCCCAGGGCAGAGATCCACAGGCAGACAACAGCAGCGGGGGGCAGTGCCAGGCCCAGGGACGGGGGAGGGGTTCTTGTCTGAGGGGGACAGGGGTTTAGTTTTGTGACAAAGTTCTGGAGAAGATGGTCGGCCACATAACGGTGTGAATGTCCTTAATGCACTGAGCTATACTCCTACAGATTGCACTTCACCTGGTAAATTCTAGAGTGTGTATTCTGCCACAATTAAAAATAAAAATTCATTGAAAAAAGGCCCTGGCGCCTCCCACCTCCTCCTGTCCACTGACTCTAGCTGGTGACGCGCAGCGCCTCTCCCCACTGAGCTTCTGCTCTGACCTTGAGGACTGCACCTCCAGTTTACCTAGGAGCCCACCCCTCCTCAGGCGCCAGCGTGACCTCGCTTTCCTCTGCTGCTCACTGCGCCTGCGCCCACGGGGCCTTAAGGAGGGTCTGCAGCCACACTCATCTGTGGAAAGCCTACACTGCTCTGCCCGGGGCCGCCACGGCCATGCCCCCTCTGCACACGAGAAGACCTGTCCTTGGGCGGCACTAAGTGCAGCTGCCTGCTCGAGGGGCTGCGTCCTGGGAAGCTGTGTCCCTGCACAGACCATCTGCCCTGGCGGCCTGTCCTTGTGAGAGGCCGCTGACCACACCCCACAGGTCCCGCAGACCCGCAGCACTGGTGGCACAGGGCAGCCACCGCCCACTGCTGCTCACAGCAGCCGAGGTTGCTGGCGTGTCCCGGGAGCCCGACGCGGACCCTCCACCTCCACACCCCAGCCACAGTGTTCCTGCAACTGTTTTCTGTCCCTGTCCCAAGGACAGCGCCAGTCAGGTGCCCCCTCCCCCTGCTGGCGCGGCCTGCCTGCGTCCGTCTAGAGCCAGCCACCTCGGGCCCGGTCCTCTCTCCACCTCACCCCCACTGTCTCCCTATCGATGCCGGACACAGACCTGGAGGCGGGGCCTCAAGCACCAGGAGGGATGCTGCCCCCTGCTCTGCGCCTTGGCACGGTCCTGTCACCTCTGTGCGTCTCACTGATGGTGTGACCACGACTGAGCTTCTCAGTGGGTGCTTGGCCAGCGTCATGCGGCCCGGGGTCCCACTCCCAGCACCAAAAAGTATGTAAGTGAGTAAAATGGGGTGTAGAGGCGCCAGGCTACGCAAGGACCACCATGGATTTGGGGACCGTAGTGGCACAGGGAGGAGAGATAGGGTCAGGAGCAGGCCAGGTTCACCCTTAGGGCAGGGCACGCAGAGACCACTCGGGACAGGAGGACGCTGCGGTATTGGGCCTGTAAAATACCTGGAGGTTGACTGACATGCTTGTACACGTCAGAGCAAGACTCCTAGGAAATCTAATGGCTCCAGCAGCCAACGGACATCCTTTGTCCGCGCTGATCAAATTGGAATAATGAGGGTGCCTGGCTGGGCAGTGCCCTCTGTGACGCTGGCAGACAGAACAACGTGGGAGCCACTGGGAGCAGAGCCGACCACACAACACCGTACGACGTGGGAGAGGCACTCGAGAGGCCGAGCCACAACTTAAGGATGTCAGAAAATGCCTTTAAAGTCTAAGAAGATACTCTACCCAGTGCTGCCTACACACTCTACAAGCTAGTGTGTATTTGTAGGTAGTGTATATACCTTTTCTAAAAATCAACTCAATGAGATAACCTGTTAAGCAAATAAAAACTGGTGCACAACTATGTTCTGTATGGTGAAAATAAGGATTTAAGGCTGATCCTAATAACCTCCCAGTGGCAGTGGCAGCCCTGTCTGTACCACTGATGTTTCCAGGGCCTCACAAAGGAAGCGCTTCCTTCAGTTCATCAATAATTCTGACCAGCCCTGATACCAAAAGCCACAACGACGCTCCCAAGAGCCAGACAAGTAGCATTTCTCCAACATAAAAGTAACCTCTCAAGAAAGTGCTAACGATCAAATCCAGTGCTTTAAAAATAATTATGGATCATGGTCCCCAACTCACTTATAAAAAATCAGCTCAGTGGTCTAAATCAGAATGCGCCCCAGAACTGGGGATTGAACCCAGGGTCGTCACACTTAACTACACCCCAACTTTGCTTTTTTTCTTTGGTAACAGCATCTCACTAAATTGCCTGAGCTGGCTCAAACTTGTACTCTGCCTGCCCCGGCCACCCAGCGTTGGGTTGCAGGCTAACTCTTTGCTGAGGACCTAACCAATAAATAGAAAATACACACCGTAAAACAATGTGTGTTCACTTGTTACTAAATTATGTCTGAAGTCACAGCTCACCCCAGTGCTCAGGGGTGTTCTAACCCACACTCTGAGACAGTGAAAAGAAAGAAGGTATAAACTGGTGAGGGAGAGACACAACAACTATCACTGGGCGCCCAAGAGAAACCAACCGAGCGACAGACAGTCGCATTCCGAAGACCGACTTGTGGGGAACACCCATTTCCAACAGGTTTTCTCAACAGCCAACAGAACGTATCCCAGGAGAAACCCTTTCCAAGAGCTGTAAGATCTACGTGGTTCCTAAGGATGAATCTGAGATGTCCAAAGGATGTGTAAGAGCACAGCTGTAAATCTCTGCGAGCTGAAGTGGGAAACAACGTGCCACGCGCACGTCAGCCGTGCCACGCGCTCCACCTCAGACGGACCCAGGTCTCCACGCAAGACACTGCGGGCTTGTGCGGTGCAGAGGGCGCGGGGCCCCTGCCAAACACACCCCCCGAACATCACAGTGCTTTATAGAAACAGTCACTGAAACAGTGCCGAGTGGGGCTGGAGTCCACAAACGCTTGGAGTGGAACACACAGGAGCAGGAGGAATTTTTAAAGTAGACAGCACGGATTTCTCACTAGATAAATGGTCTCTACAGCAGTGCTCTCGCTTGGTGATCTCATTAGAAAAAGGTCAGCTGTGGGGTTTCCATGCGAAAACAGTGGGAGAGGGAAGAAGCCAAGCACAGCGGGCGTCCGTGTCACCGATGGCTGTCCCAGGCCTCACTCTGGGGACTGCAACACGTGATCCCATCCAGTTAAAATTCTTCCTGAGGGAAACCAAAGATCCAAAGCCACACATGCAACGGACAGCTCAGGAACTGCGGGTGGCTGAGATGGAGATGGAAGTGCCGGTGAGACGGACGCGTGGCGGGCACCGTGTCCCCGTAGACACAGTCACGCGGCCACCCAGCAGTGGAAAGACCATGGCCACCAGCCGGGCCCCGGCCTGTCCCGGTCTCCCATCAGCAAAGGGGTGGGAATGGGGACGCAAGGGCTCAGGCCTGCCAACCCTGAGAGGAGAGGAAACTTCACAGCAGGGAGGCCAGGTGGAGCAGGGACTGGCTGCTTCAGGGAGGGCGGTGGAATAAGATCTAAAATCTCTGTGTATATTCACAGTTCGTCACTTCCCTACACGACAATTCCTGAGCTGGGCATGGTAGTGCAGTTGTCTGCAGTCACAGTGCTTTGGGAGGCTGAGGCAGGAAGATCATAAGTTCTGGCCCAGCCTGGATGACTTACCAACTTTATTCAAAAAATAAAGGTGGGGGATGAACTCACGGTGAAGGCCCTGTGTTCAGTACCCACTACCCGCCCCCCAAATTCAGAGAACTAAATTGTTGCATAAATTTTGGATGCTGGCAGTTTGCAACCGTCAGAATGCATCAGTTTGCATGCCATTCGCCTATCGTTTCTATACACGGAAAATGCTGCTCTCGGTGAAGAAGAGCGGTGGGGATCCCAGGACCGATTCCAAACATCGCATGCTGCTCAGCAGGGACAGCAGCGCCTGGCAAGCTTCGCAGTGAACTGCACGGAGCTCGCCGTGCACACACACACACGGAGCTCGCCGTGAACATCTGACAACAGATGAGCAAAGCCGAAATCCCAGAGCAAATGAAAGTGCTTCTTAAAGCTTCAAAAACTTACGTAATAAAACCCATCCTCGTCAATGTCGCCAAAAACAGCAATGATATCTCCCGTGCAAAACGTAAGTTCAGCCTGCAGAGATGGAACGTAAAGTCAGTAGCACCCTGCTACACAAGGAGCACCACTTCCTGCCCCTCCCCTGGAGTGCAGGGGCCAGGGCTGGAGCTGCTGGCCGGCCCTGCTGAGAGATTCAGGGTCGCCCCACAACCCACCTGTCTCAACCTACAAACTGCTGTGGCACTGTGAGCCCTGGCCGGGCCCACACGCAAGGCCACAGCTGCCTTCTCGGGTCAGACATCTCTAAAACTCACTGCCCACATGGCTGTGAGGGCCTGGGCGGGGAATGCCCCCTGCAGAGTGAGGACCCTCACAAACGGCCCTCTGCCAGAGATAGGAACCCTGCCCTGTGCAGTGACAGCAACCTGTAAGGGTCTGGTGTCGCCGCAGACCTTGATACGAGAGAGGATACAACAAACATTTTTTATAAATATGAAATCAAGGGATCAAATCATGGGCAGTGGCTGGTCAGAGGCATGCCTGGGACCCGATACACAGCCCCAGGCCTGCAGGGCAGCTCCCAGGACAGGGCGGGTGCAGCCTTCGACGTGCGGCCCAGGACACGGCCTGCCCTCTCTCACTCCCCATCGTGTGACAGTGGCCTGGCGCTTGGCTTTGCCCCGGGAACTTCTCGCCCGGGGAACTCCCTTCCTCCCTCGTTTCTCCCCAGATGTGCTACATGGCTCACAGGCCCATCAGTCGTGGGGTGGGGACATCTGGGTTGGGGACAGCTTGCCGGGACAGTGAACCCTCACTCCAAGGCCTCCGTGGGGACCGCTCCAGGACAGTGTTTCTGGGGCACAGAGCTCCGCTACAGTCTGACACACACTGACACTTGAGGGATTCCTGGCGCTGAGCAGCACACAGCTCGGTTATGACTGGGACTGGACTAGTCAGGCCAGGGGCCTCGGGATGGAAACGGGACAGCGTGGGGGTCAGGAGGGGAGCCTGGAGCGAAGTGGGGGGGATGAGCTGTATCATGCTGCTGCAAACAATGATTTATTTATTTTGGTACCGGGAATGGAACTCAGGACCTAGTGCTTGACAGGCAGGGACTTGTGCTGCTGAGCTATACCCCCGGCCCCTGCAAATGATGATTTAAAACAACACACTGCTCCTCCCTGGAGTTTCTCACAAGCGCTCTGGCCAGCAGCTGGCTCTGGATGCACAGACGACCCGCCTGCCGCACCCTGGGGGCCACAGTCCCTAACCCGCCACCGTGCGGAGAAGGGCTGAGGGGAGCAGGTGTGACTGAGTGGCGGCTTCAGCATGGGTGCAGGGTGGCCACGCCCCGAGACACCGCTGTACCTCCACGTCCACGTTGGGCGAGCTTTCCCGTGGGTCATAGTCGTACAGGGCCACCATTCTCCGTGTGGACACTGAGTGCGGCCTGCCACTCCTCCTGCTCCTCTCTGCGACCAGACAAGGGGAAAAACAGGTTGCTGTGACGTCACTGCCCAACCAAGGGGTCCCATGCCCAGCCCAGGCCACGTGCCTGGCACCTGCCCCCTCTAGGACCTGGGCCAACAGCCCTGCCCTCCGCGGCCCCCAGCTTGCAATGCTGCTGTGGCCTCTGGACTTGTGTTTGTGCCCTGGCATGGCAGTGACCCTCCCCTCCTCCTCCTCAGGGCCATCAGACCACGCTCTACAGAGCCAGACCCTCCCCAGCTGTGGTGCCGAACTGTCTGGGCCAGCACAGGGTTGCTGGGGCTCAGAGAGGCTCAGCAAGAAGCAAGGGGTGGACGAAGGCTCTGGGAGAGACCTGCAGCTCAGAGTCACAAGTGCTTCTCCTGGAGCTGGGCCTGGTGGGCACACCTGTGATCCCAGCACTCGGGAGGCTGAGGCAGGAGGATCCCAAGTCAGCCCAGCCTGGGCAGTTTAGCCACTTAGCAAGACTGCCTTACAGTAAAAATGAAAAGGACTGTGAAGGCCTTCGGTTCAATCCCCAGTACTGCAAAGGAGACCCAAAAAACCCAAACACACACCACCAAAGTTCGACACAAGCCAAGCTACTGTGGGCCCAGCACGAGGCCCAGACCCCTGGCCTGAGGTGAGGAGGGCTGCCGGTCCTCAGAGCCCCAGGGTGGCCTAGGCCCAGGCCACCCAACTGGGGCTGCCGGGAGCGTGTTGCGCCCCCCTGGAGCGGGAGCCTCATCGAACAAGGAGGGAAATACCTTCGAGATGTGTGACACCCATAACATGGTGTGCATTCTCGCAACCACTGGGCATGGGCTCTGGTCTAGGAGTCCACCTGGGTCTTGGATATGTAACCCAAGAAACGAAGGGCGCAGCCTGAGCTTTGTCCCTCCAGCTATGCAGCTCAAGAAGAGGCCTTCTGTCTCCTCCAGGAGGGAAAAGCTACAGAGCACAGGGGGACACATCCTGGGGCCAGCATGGCTGTCTTCTGGCTGCTGTTTGCTGACTGGCTCAAAACACCCAGAGCAGAACAGTGCACGGCCCACACAACAGGACAGGGGCTCACGTGGCCTGTGCCTATGCAGGAGCCCCAGAGGCAGGGGGTATGGCCCCGGGGCCCTTGGGAATGTACCACGCCAGGCCGGTGCTCACGGCACATACAGAAAGCAGCTGCCACTCTGTGCTCTGGCATGGAGCAGCTCTGGCCGCCCCATCAGCCAGACCATCACCGCTGCGTTAGCACACAGCCAGTCGCCCCCACCTGTCTTCTCCACCGGGGTGTGGAGCGGGAGGAAGCCCTGGCGCAGCAGCTGGCCCCGCATCTCGTCGTCGTCCGCCTGGATCTCAGACACCATGTTGCACGGGATGAGGCCGAGCCGGGCACAGGTCTCCCCACGGTAAAACCCGTCGGCGTCCTTGTCTCCATACACCTGCAGCAAAGGACAGGCCATGCTGTGACCCTCGTTCCACACCCACTGGGCCTCCCTGGCCCCCCCCCCCGCAGGCTCACAGGGCCTCCAGGCCCCTCTCCAAGACCCCTAATGCCACAGGGCACTGCCCACGTCGGAGAGGCAGGATCCTCCTCCGGCCACTCCCCGAGGTGGGCTCTGTCCCTGCTCGAGCCCTGTGCCCACGAAGCGGCCACGGCCCCCACCTTGATGATCTGGCCTTCCTTGAAAGGCAGCTCCTCCTCCGCGGCATCAGGGTTGGGGGACATGGTGAGCGGGTCGTAGTCAAAGAGAGCCACGAAGATGCGGGCCGGGGGCTCCTCGGCACCGGGGTCCAACTCCGACTCATCATAGAAGTCCGGGGAGAGGCGGTCGTGCCCGGCGTAGTCGTCTTGGAGCATGAGGGGGACAAGGCGGAGGGCCAGGTGACCCCGTGCAACACAGCAGCTGGGACAGGATGGGGGCAGGGTGGCCCTCAACTCTGACCTCCACAACAAAATTAAGCGGCTGGGCGAGGAGGCAGACGCAGACCCAGCAGCCGCGGCTGTGAGTGGACTCCCATCTGCGCCCCCAGGACTGCCTGCTCCCAGACTCAGAGCGAGTACAAGTTTACAGCACTTCTGTGCCTCCGCCCACACACAGGGCAGTGACCGGGCGGCCACAGCGCTCTGGACATCGAGCCCAGGCCACACACCTCCTTCATGTGTGACCGCAGCTCCGCAGCAGAGCTGGCTTCAACTCGCCCCCTGCAGTAACCCTTTCTGAAATGCTGACCCCAGGGACCAGGCCCAGTGCTTCTGGCGCCTCCAGACTCCTCCACACTCACGGCCCCCGCACAGGATGGGGCCACATTCACCCAGCACCTCCGCACACTCGGACGCGGAGGGCTCTGCTCGGGCTGACCGTGCTCCCTGATCGCACACGCTATGCTATGGAAATCGTGATGGGCAAGACGCCCTCAAGTCCAGTGCAGATGCGATTTTTAAAAATATGTTCGGGCTGCAGTTGGTCGAGTGTGCAGATGTGGCGTGTGCAGATATGGAGGGTCAGACACATCTGTGTTGCTGTGCAGTTGTAAGAGTTGGAGACGGGCAGGAGGGCAGCCCTGTCCGCTGTCCTGCCCGCTGGCCCCCAGCAGGGGACAGGGAGTGGGAAGGACTCGGGTGTGGGAGGGCGGCCTGGGCGCAGGGACCAGCCAGCTGGCCCTGTTCCCCAGCACAGAATTCAGTTTAAAATGCGCAGTGGCTCTGGACACCTCTCTCCCGGGCTGCAGGACCTTCCGCGCCTGGAGAAGGCGTCCTGTTTCGGCCTTTGTTTTCTACAAGTCTGATTTTTTTTTTTTTTTTGCTGGGAACCCAGTTTTTCAGCAGCAGACTTGGCTAACATCTTCACAAGGGCTTTGACTTTCTTAATAGTCAGGGAAGGGACTGGTTCTCTGTTAACTGAAAACACTGTTTTTAAGAAGTTTTATGACAAAAACAAAAAGTAAAAATGGGAAAGGAAACATTTTCTGTGCTGCTTCCAGCATCTGGAAAGAAGGGGTGGGGAGGCCAGGCAGAGACCGCGCTCACTCGGGTGTGCAGCGCCTCCTTCCCTCAGAACCGTTTCCCCTGGGCCCTGAAATTTTCTCCCTGCTCCGCTTCCTGTGTGTGTGTGTGTGTGTGTGTGTGTGTGTGTATGCACACACGTGTGTGCATGCGAGTTCACAAAAGGGCTGATTCTGGGCTCCAAGGCCTTGGGTTAGTGGCTCTTAGAAGCACTGCTGCCCTGCAGGGTGTGGTGGCGCACACCTGTAAAGCCAGCACCTGGGAGGCTGTGGCAGGAGGATCACTTCGTGTTCAAGGCCAGCCTGGGCTACACAGTGAGTTCAAGGCCAGCCTGAACGGCCAGCCTGAACTGCCAGCCAGTTTAGAGAGATCCTGTCTCAAAAAAAACCAAACCAATGAAGAATCACAGCTGCCTTTACTGCAGGCCGCCAAGGGAATCATTCCTCCCTGACCTTCAGCCGGCCCCTTGCCTCGAAGACAACGCTGGCCTTGCGGCCACTGCAAACTTCCAAGAAGCCATCAGGAGCAAGGTGCCGGCCTAGTGGCATCGGGACAGCAGCGAGCAGGGCACACAGGGCAGGGCCCAAGGGGCAGGGAGCCCTTGCGCTGGCTGCTGACTAGTCCTGTGTCCACAGGCAGCTCTCCTCCCTGAGACCAAGGCTCACCCGGATATTCGGGGCACACCACCACCCAGCTCTGCTCGGCTCAGGCTTTGGCCCTCAGCGGAGAGTTGGCACCTTACAGGCCACGCTGGGAAACCGCCCAGCAAGACAAAACAACAAAAAGAAAGGCCCAGCAGGCGGAAGGGGAGCGCAGTTACAAGGCCAGCAGGCGCTCAGATGCTCAGCGGGCTTCCCACCTGTGCGCACCTCTGCCCGTGCTCCCACGTGTAATACAGAGCTCTGCGCCGAGCTAACACTACCCCTAAGGGTCACAGAACAATGGGCAGGAAGAGACAGGAGGCGGTGGGCCACTCACCAATGGGTAGCCGGGGCCTCTGGGGACCAGAGCCACCGTGGGGGAACCTGCGGCTCCCGCGCTCCACCCTCTCCGCCCGTCCTGCTGACGCCGGATTGCCTAAGATCTGGGGACAAGACAGCAACATGATCATGGTCTCGCCGGCCTTAGGAAGGAAGAGTAGATCAGTGAAATCAACTCAGATTGGAAGCAAAGCTGTAAAGGCAACTCAGCTTAGCTTTTAGCTGAAAGGTTAGCTGAATGGCCAGCTTGGCCCCCGCGCCCCACACCAGGGCCACCTTCTGACCACTGTGAGACCCGAGGCGTCTGGGCATGGCTGTTACCACTGCTGAAAGTGAGTACTCGGGTCAGACTGAGGAAGCTCCAAATACAACCGGACACTGCAGGGTCACAGGCTGGACCACGCCAGCTTGGGCGGCCCACGCCGAGGCCAGCTGCCACACTGCAGCAGGAAGGCGCCGCAGTGTCAAACCTTGACTTGGCCGGAGTATGATGCTGTGGGGAGGCTGTGTTACCAGTTTCGGGGACCCCATGTGTCAGCCCTGCCCTGAAGACACCACCATGTGCTAGGTGACCCGAAGGCCTCCTTTCTGGGCCTCCAGCTTGAACTAGAGGCTAGGACTTGTTATGAAGAATACAGCAGGACCTCCTGCTTGCTATGACATGGCCAGGGGGCCCTTTCCCAGGAAACAGAACTACAGACCTGAGGCTGTGGTGGGAGCGCCCTCGTGTGGGCACATGGCAAAGTGCAGGGGCTGGCACCCTGGTGGCCCACCTGGGCGTCCTCAGGATGTGTGTGGTGGGAGGGAAGGGCCGCGCCTAGGGCTCATGGGGGAAAAGCGCTTGCAATCTGGTGACCCGGGGGGGAGGAAGAAATGAAAAAAGCAACTTTCTTCACTAACACTCTCCATGTGGTAAAACGGTCGATGAGGGCGTGGATGCAACATAAAAATCCGAAACAGCAGGGAAAAATACTGCCAGGGGCCACTTAGGTCTCTAGGGGTGGTTTTGGAAGAATGAAAGTTGCCAAAATGGCCATCACCATTCAGCTAACCCTTAGTTAAAATTTAGGCTCAGTTGTCCTTTAATCGAAGCAGCCAGAATCATCACCGTCCTGTGGAGGAAACCGTCATCGACAGCAAAGGAAAGACGTCGCCGGCGCGGCCAAGCCATGGGACACGGCAAACTGAAAGCGCAGAGAACCAAGCGCACCAGATGCCCAGGACGACGCCCATGGGAAAACGCAAGCCCGGGGGAGTGCGGCCCAGGCAAGCGGGAGGGGAGCATCACACACCCAGGGACCGTCTGCAGCCCGGGGAGGAGGTATCCCGTGCTGGAGGGCCGCCCTATTGTCCGGCCCGGCCACGCCTTTCCACCAGACACCCCGAAAACCGTCGTGGTCGGAGGCTGCATCCCAGCCTGGCTTCCTGGGCGCCGACCTCTCCGGGCTGGCTTGGATGTCATCGCTCCTGATGACGTCACCGGGGTCCACCTGCTCCCCAAAGTCCTCTTCAATGCTGCTCTGCCGGGTCAGTGTCCGCCGCCGGGCCAGCAGGGGCCGTGTGCTTCTCCGACAGGGACAGTGGCCAGGGCCTGGGCTGCAGTTGGCTTCGGTATTCCCAAAACTAATCCGCAGCTCCTCCTCCTCACTGCCACAATCCAGGCCACTGTCCGGGCTCCGGGTGGCCCAGCGGCCCAGCCAACCACCTCTGTCTTCCAGGAGGAGGTCGTCCGCATGGGTGACCCCCCGCGGGACCCTGTGCTTGGTGGGGAGCCAGGAGTCAGGCGGCACTGTGGGGCCCCAGCAGGGTGGGACAGGTCCATGCCGTGCAGCCAGCAGGGCCCTGGCTCTGGACACCCCAGGGCCCTGCCGGAGAAGCGGCTCACAGGGGTCAGGATCCTCCTCTGCTACCTCGGGGATACTGAAAAGCCTCTTACTTCGGCGGGACGGTTGGGGGAGCCCAGACTGCTCCAGGAACACACCTTCCGGGCTCCCGGGCTTATAGGACTCCTTGGGGATGGGGTTGGGGGACAGAGTGGCGGCCACGCATGGGGCAAGGGGGCAGAGGAAGGAAAGAAAACACAGACACATTAGTGATGGCAGCAAGGTGGGCAGATGCATGCTTCTGCTCCAGGGCGGGGGAGCTGGTGGTCTTGGAGGAGCCGGGCACAGGCAGAGACAGCGCAGGGGAGCGGGCACCATGCAGGTGGTCAGAGGTGGCGGCTCAGACACGGAGGTGGGTAGGGGCCGTGCCCAGGGCCCATAGGACGCTCACCCCCCATCACCTGGGCCCCCCTTACCCCTGTGCTGAGCACTGCCCCAGCATCCCTATCCTGCTGGCTGTCTACACCCTTCTCCTGCTACAGCTGAACTGTGTGAGCCCAGGGCGGCTCCCTGCCATGTGTCAGCAGCCCAAGCTCATTTAATGTCCTAGAGGGACAGGGACCCCCGCTCCCACTGCCCGGCACAGCACCACTCTGCCCAGCCTGCTGCGTAAATGCCACACGCACGTGGTCCACACACATGGCTCCTTGTCCCGACGGCCCTCAGCCTCAATCTCCCCAAGCAAGTGTGTGCTGAACAGCATCCCACCGCCTCCTTGCAAGCCTGGGCCCCTGTTGTGGGCAGGGTCTGCGTGTGTGTGTGTGTGTGTGTGTGTGTGTGTGTGTGTGTGTGTGTCGGGGTGATTATTCCTAGGGACATCCTGATACCATGTGAGAAAGGACAATGACAAAAAGCCTTCCCCCCGGGACTGGGAGGGCAGCCCGGGTGCTTTGGTGAACAAGCAGATAATGTGGTGAGTGGTTTGGGCCGGGGAGGGAGGGAGACGTGTCTGACCCCAAAGGGGACCAGCCGGGCCACTTGCTCACTGCCATGTGGGAGCACGAACCCGGTGCCACCACCCAGGGCACTTCTGAAGAGAACCCAGAAGCTGAACTGGCCTCGAGCAACCCTTGCCTCTAACACCAGCGGGCCATGGGCAGGACCTGCACCCCACACTGTGACCCCGCTTCTAGAGCACCTCTGGGGGTGGGGGCGGTGACCCCAGAGCTTTCTGTCTGGGCCTTGCCAGGGGAGAAGGCAGCTTCCAGTCTCTGTGAAAGTGGGTCTGTCCTACACCCCGAGCAGCAGCCTCAGGATGGGGTGCTGTGCGTGCCACCCATCACCTCTGGCACTGGCAGGAAGTTCAGGCCTGGGTGTAGACCAGGAGTAGAGGGGCAGAGGGCTGGCCAGTGTGTGCCTCTGAGCCACCCAGGCTGGTGAGATGGGGCAGGGCCTCGGACACCATGCAGGGTCTGCATAGGGATCTGGCATGTTCCAGTGGAGAGAACATCCATCAGTCGCTCTATGCAGGGGGCAGTGCCACGGTGGGCTTGGATGGCACCCTCCACCAGCATTCCACATGCGTGCGCTGTGCCCAGCGCTAGGCCCCAGAGAAGCTCCCTCCCGAGCCGCCTTCCATCCCTGAATTCCCGGCCCCCATGGTCCTCCAGCTGCCTGGCCCGGCGCCTGCCTCCTGGGTCTCACTTGGTGACAGAATCGGCGCAGGAACTGGTGCTGGCCCAGCAGCAGCAGTGGGGTGGAGGTCCCCGCGGGGCACAGTGGGCACCCTGCTTGCTTGAGCCCCTCAGCCAGTGTCCAGGCAGCAGCCTCTCCCAGTGGCCTCAGAGAGGGCCTCAAGGAAGGTGTGGGTCTGTGCATGGACGAGCACGCAGCTGGACTCTATCTCCCCAGCTCAAGCCCACCACAGAGCTGTGCGCCCTGAGATGCGCAAGGCCCCCGAACTGCTGCACCCACACTGTCCTGTGAAGTGGCCGGGAGCTACGGGCCCACAGCAATTGCAACGGTGAGAAAGAAGCGGTCCAAGCTCAAAGCCTCTGTCGCAGGGCGAGGCCCAGCCGAGGGCCCGGTGCAGTGCTCTGTCCCTGTCCCCTCCCGGCCCCCGCCCAGCTGCTCACCTTGAGGGCACCGTGTGAGGTGCTACTGGGCCGCCGCCGGCCGCCGTCCTCCAGCTGCATCTCCGAGTACAGCTCCTCCTCATCCTCCTCCAGGATGTCGGACAGGTCTGAGCCCCGGCTGCTCTCTGTGTGGTACTCGTCTCCATGGCAACAGAGGGGCTGTAAGGTGACAAGAGCAGAGTGAAGGGATGGCTTCTTACCCCGATGGTTCCTGCTTGGCCTCCTCTTTCACCAGTAGGCAGAGTGGTATGGGGGTCAGGCTAATCCTGCCCCAGTGACCAGGCAGCCCCAAAGGTGTGGAAACCCTCAGCCACGGATGGGACAAGGACCCTGGTGCTGGTAGGACACTGCACCAGGTCATACTGTGCATGGCTGGAGGAGTGGGAACACTCAACATGGAGTGTCGCCTGGTCAGCCTGGGATCCACACAGGATGGGAGGCACTCGCTCCTGGGTGCGTCTGGGGGTCATGGAGGCCTAACCCTGGCGACTATGTCTAGTCCCTGGGCCCTTCCTCTCTGGCACTGCCCCTTGCCCTGTTTCCTGGCCACCGTGAGGTGAGCAGCTTTCCTCCCCCACACTTCCGCCACGATGTTCCAGCCTTGGAGCAGTGCACCATGGACTGTAACCTCTGAAACCACGGGCCCGATGAACCTCTCCTCGAAACTGCGGTGTCGGCAATTGTGTCCCAGCACAAGGAGAGTGACCAAGACGCCAGTACCCAGCCAGTGTCCAGCAAATGTTGATCCACCAGTGGACATGAACTCACAGATGAACCCAGCGGGCACCTGTAACTGACGCTGTCCTGTTCTGACCCAAAGACCTGCCCAGACCAGGTTCTGGCATGGCTGGGGGAGCCTCACATGTAGCTCTGTGGGAAGCTACATGCGAGGACAGAGCCTCCACACTGTCCCCGAATGAGGTGACACAGGATCTTCTGTGGACTCAAGCCTCAGTGCTGGCAGGACCGCTGCAGCCCAGCAAGCTGTTCCTTTCTTCCCTGCCTCCCCGGGCCCCAGGCCTGCCTAAGGTCACCATGGCCACCAGACTCACCTGCCTGCCCAGCTCAGACCCCTTCAGGAAGTCGTCCACGGAGGGGCCCCTCCGCTTGAGCTCAGGGGAGGCGTACCCATCCTCCTCGTCTGAGTTGGCATAGGGACCCTCACTGCTCCTCTCCAGGAAGAGGCTCCTTTTCTCTAACTTGGAAAGAGAGGGGACAAGGGTGAGCTAGGAGTTGGGGGGCAGCTGGGCCACTCCCCTGGCACTGTGTCCCAGCGCTGTGCAGGGAAAGGCGTCCCATTCACACATCAAACCCTGCAGGTCCCTCAGGCGAGTGTGCCAGCGACCCTGCCAAGTGGCCTGAGCCACTCGAGGGTGCGTCTCCTTGAGTCCCTGCCCTACGGCGCCAGGTCCTGCTCCGGTGAGGCGCTCCTCTCCCTCCACTGGCCTCCCTTGCCCACTTTTATTCCATCAACCAACAGGTCCCTTTTTTGGATTTTGGCCTTTTTTTTTTTTTTTTGTAGTACCAGGGATTGAACCCAGGGCCTTCACATTGCACTACAACTCTAGCCTTTTTTTTTTTTTTTAACTCTTTGAGACAGAATCTAAATCTCTAAACTATCCAGGCTGGACTCAAGCTTGGGATCTTCCTGGCTCAGCCTCCCAGAGTGCTGAGATTACAGGCATGCACCACCAAACCCGGCTAATAAACATGTTCTTAACATCTAATGCTCTGGCTCCATCCAGGCACAGCCCTGGGGGGATTCCCAGGGGTGTCTCTGGAAGGGCTGGAGCGCTACCCAAGCCTCCACTTGCTGTGAGCTCTGAAGTTGGCCCTCCAGTCAGAGGTCAAAGTTCATGGGCTGCTATTACCTCAAAGGGGAAACTGAGGCTAACGGCAAATATCTGGGCACCTTGTAAGGGGGGCCCAGGCAGTCCCCCCCACACACACAGGTGGCCGTGACATCACACTGCACACATCAGCCTGGAAGGTGGTCCCACCACAGTTCCTACAGCACTGGGAGGCTCCATGCAGCGGCGTGCAAATGAGTGTGCACACGCGCACACCCACATGCAGCTCTCCTTGCAGCCACATAGGAGGTGTGATCAAAAGCACAGAGTTGGTTTAAATGAAGAGTTTCGTCATCAGAGAAGACACACTGCCATCGATCCACCTCAGAACAACCCCTCCTTGCTCATGCCCGCCCACCCTCCTCGCCTCTTTCTGCCCCAGTCTGGAGTCCTCTTCCCTCGGCGTCCCTGGGTACTCTGTCCTGGCTGCCTCAGGACCCTGAATGGATTCAAAACATCTCCCTCTGGTAGTCAGTGTGACTTTGGGACACAGCCGGAAGTCACACGCTGCCAGATCCAGTGAATGCGGTGGATGAGGACACAGTGTTGTGTTTTTGACAGAAATAGTCATAGACGTTTTGAATCAGTGAGATAAGCATGTTTAAAATAAGGGTTGCTACTTTGAAGGGGATCATAGCAATGTGTCCTTTACCGTAATACAGCTTTAAATGTTTAACTTAAGCAGTCACTGTATGTTCTGACCATGCCTCAGACGTGCGCGTGCCTGTGCGGAGAATCTGTGTATTTACGTGTCAGCTCTACCTACACACCCACGCATGCACGCGTGCTCACACACATACGCACACTCTGGCTGGAACCCTGAAGGGAGCAGCGTCAGCCCCATCCAGGGCAGTCCCAGGCCACCATGCAGCGCATGGCTCTCAGACCCGGATGAGTGCACAGGCGTGCTTGGGAGACTCGCCCTAGGACCAGAGCTGTCTCTGGGGGTCCACACGCCATGCTCCCTCAACTCCATGGCTGCTCATGTGCAGAGCAGAAACACACCACAGTCCAGTCAGGATGGGGCAAGATGCCTCTGGGGATGGCACTGGTGAGTACAGGGCCCTTCCCAGGGTCTGCAGCCCGGCCCGGGGGTGGTGGGGTGGGCATGGCTAGAGCTGTCCCCACCCCACGTAACCCGAATCCTGTTCAGAGGAACAGGGGGCAGGACCCCTGGGGAAGCCCCGGCTTACCCTGCTGCTCTCAGCCACCCTCTGTGCGGCCTCACGGGCCATGGCCTTGGCGACGGAGGTGGACACGGGGGCTCCCTGCGGCTGTGGGAGGATACGGCTGGGCGAGGGCGACCGCCGCCCAGAGGGGGCACCCTGCAGGCCAGGCGGCTCCAGCAGGTTCCCGTGCGCAGGGGCAGGCATCCGGCTCTGCTCCCAGGGCTCTGCCTTGGCGTGGACACCCGAGTGCTCGTCTTTGGTATCGGGGGTGCTGGCTAATGGCTTCGGTGGGGACACCCTGGAGGCGGGGGCAGGAGGCACCAGGAGGTCGGGGGGCACAGCAGCTGGCGCTGAGTCTGCAGACTCGCCCTGGGCAGAGAGGGTCCGTACAGTCACGGCCTTCGCCTCCAGGCCTCGCAGCCGCCCGAGCTCCACAGGGATGCTGTCCGCGGTGGGGAAGATGACCTCAGCCACCTGCACAGAGACAAGGCCAATGGCTGCTGGCATCCCACAGCCTCAGCCTGCGCCTTCAGGCAGGACAAGGACCTGACATCCAGCTCGAGTCGGCACTTAGCCAGAAGCCCAGGGCCTAGAGAGTAGGGGACCGAGAAGTGCACAAGCCCAGGACACTCCGGCTGGAAGGCCCATTAGGCAGAGTCCCTGTCCTGCTTAGGACCGACCCAGAGCCGGATGCGTGCACAGGCATGCTTGGGAGCATCTCCCGCCTCAAGGAGGGGCCTGCAGGGGTAGCACCAGGCACTTTCCCCAGGAGGTGGCTCGTGACCACCTACACCCTGTCAATCTGATCCATCGCTCCTGACGGAGGACAGGATAGGGACAGCAGGTGGACAGGAGACGCTTCTCCAGCCTTCCCAGTGCCAGGCGGGCGGTGGGCTGACATGGTGGACCCCTGCTTCCCTGAGTTTGGGGTCTGGTCACCTACTCTCGTGAGTCACCCCTGCCAGGTCTCCAGGGAGGGACCTTGATGCTGGGGTCCAATCCAGAGCAGAGCGAGTCATGGAAGTGGGGTGCTGGACCAAGGGCAGGACCCATGCCAGTGAGCCCTGCGGGGCAGTGAGGGTGGCCTTTCATAAATGATGGCGGCGTCCAGCAGCTGAGGATGTGCCTGGACTTCTCTCACGCAGGGAATGGGCCACCCCATCGCACTCCACGGAGCTGGGCTCTGCCTGTGGGGCCCCATAGCCCAAGCCACTCACCCGCTGCCCCTTGGCATACACGCCGTAGCCAGTGACGTTTGCTCCATTGGACAGCCCAGTGGGGGTCAGCACAGGTGGCTTCCAGGAGACCTGGACAGTGGCTGCTGTGGCCCCCACTTGGACAGTGACATCTTGTGGAGGGGCTGGAGGGCCTGGGAGGGACAGAAGGAACAGCAGCCTTCAGGGCAGGGCCTGCTGGGTGGCCATTACTGCTCCACGGTCCCTCCTGGAAGACAGACGATGCCTCAACCTCGGAGGAGGAGGCAGGGACAAGAGGGCAGCAGAGCTGGTGGCACTGGTCGGTGCCAGGGCGCAGGACACACAGTATCCGCGTGGCGATTACTCACCTCCTCTAGGGAAAGTGCCCGCACTCTCGGTTCTCCAGTCACCTCCAGCCGTGACTGGTCAGAGCCACCTCTGTCCAGGGGCGGGCGACCGGTCAGCCAGGGACAGCTTGGGGAGGGCGTGAGGACGCGCAGGGGGAAGGGAGCCTCCCCCTCCCTCTGCTGCCCCTGGCTCTCTGTCCTTCGTTCTCCACCGACTGCAGGGACAGCAGCTCAGGCCTCACATCACCATGTCACCCCCCAGACAACTGAGTGAAACCGAAAGCCAGAGGGACCCTGTGTCCCCCAGGGCTGTCGGCCCACGTCCAGCTCCACCCAGCTTCCCAGGCACCCAGGCCGATGGCTTTTCTGAGCCGGTGCTGGGTGAACTCTGCTCACCTAGTCCCACAAGAGAAGCAGCCCTGAGCTGCTACTGCGGAAGATATGTCAGCAGCAGCCATATCATCAGGCATGGTGGGCGGTTTCAGGGACAGGGAGTGGCCAGCCCTGTCTGGACACCCAAGGGGCTCCCTTCTCCCCAGGCCTGGGGGATCCTCAATGCCTCCCACTGCAAAGCACAGATTCCTGTCCTGTGGAAGGAAGGCTGCAGCCCCTGGAGCACAGTGCTGAGCCGAACGCATCTGTGCTGTGACAAAGCTCTCCAAGGCTTCTTTGCGGCCTGGGTAAGAAGCCCAGCCCGGCCTGATTTGAACACAATCCCACTGCGATTGCCACCTGCTCCTCAGCGGCACAGATACAACCACTGCTGCCCACAAGGGCTTTGGCTTCATGACCATGACAGGCAGCTGTGTCCACTCACCCCTCCGAACAGCCAACTCGGGGAGGACCACACACGGCCAGGAATGTGGGCGCCGGAGACTGAAGGCCTGGCTGCAAACCCCAGCTCAGCCAATCACCATGTGCAACCCAGACAGCGACTTCGCCTCCCTGCCTGCCAACTGCTGTATCTGTCAGAAGGACATAATGCAGCACCTCTGACGACAGAGCATCATCACAGTGGACCATGGCAGGGGTGAGAGCACCATGGCCAGCTGCCCTTCCCAGCCCCACATGACCCTCCGTCCTCTCCCGGCCAGTTTCCTGGTGAAGAGAAGATGGGAAAAGACAGCTAGAATGGGGGAAGAAATAGGGAGTGCAGGTAACCAAACCAACTATGAAGGAACCAAACGAAAATCCTAGAGCAGAAAAACAGCAGAATTTTTAAAAAATTCAGCTGATGGTCTTAACAGCAGATTGGGCGCACAAAGGAAGGAATCAAGAAACATGAAGACAGACCAGCAGACGTGACTCTGAAGCACAGGGGGCAATAGCCTACAAATAACAGGTGGTTCGTGTATCTACAAGACAATGGCAAACTCTCTGACCAACACGTACAATTAGAGTCTCAGAAAGAGAGAGAGCATAAGGCAAAAAATATGTGGAGCTATGTTTGAAATCTGGAGAACATTAACTGAGATCCAGAAATCTAAGTCAAACTTGGGAAAGAATAAATAAAATAAAGCACAGGCACATCACACTCCAACTCTTGGACCTCACAGACAAAGGGGGGAAAAGCTTAAAATTATTCTGAAAGGAAGTGACAGAGCGACAGCTGAGTCACCGCAGGAGCAGGGAAGGCCGGGGGCGGTGGAAGGGGGCACCTGGAGGGCCAGAAGAGCATGCAGGTGAAATCACACATGACTTTAGATGAACAAAAGCAGGCTGAAAGCTGTCCTGAAGGAAATTCTTCAGGCTAAAAGGAGATAACATCAGATCAAAATGTACACCCACAGCGAGAACAAAAGGACAGTGGAAATGGTACATGTGAGACTATTTTTTCCAAATTCTTCAAAGGCAAACAAATAACAATATCCTAAGGAAACTATAATATGTAAAAGTAAAATATATCAGAACAATAGCAAAACCAAAAGAAGACAAATAGAATTATGATGTTTCATAATTCTTTCATTATAAATTGGTATATTATTAACATAAGGTAATGTATAATACATTAAGTATGCATGCTATACTCCCTAAAGCAGTCACCAAAAAACCCCCACAATATGTCATTTCAAAAAAAGAACAACTGAGAAAAGAAAATGGGGGCTGGGGATTTAGCTCAGCGGCACAGCGCCTGCCTGGCAAGCGGGAGGTTGTGAGTTCAATTCCCGGTACCAGAAAAAGAAAAAACAAAACCAAAAAAAAAAAATTTGTATAGAAAAGAAAATGGAATATAAAAAATAATCAAGCTAACAGAAAGGCAGAAAAGAAGGCAGAGAAAGACAAACACATTTTAAAAAAAGCCAACAGGATAAATTAAAACAAAGAGCAAGACGCTAGACTTACATCAGCGCTCACACTAAGTGTGAGACATCCCAATCAAAGGCAGAGAGTGCCCAACTCTGACAGCAGCCAACACCCAGCGGCAGCCTCACTGTAAGGGACACACTTTAAATACAAAGCACAAAGGATCTGAAAACAAAGGTTAGATGTAGAAGATGCATGTAAGCTCTAAGCAGAAGAAAGCAGACGACCCCATGAACAGCCGGCAAGAGAGACTCCAGGATAAGAAACAACGTCAGAGACAAAGAGGGACGCTTCAAGATGACAACAGGGGGGGCTTACTGGGCAGTCATAATGGTTTTAAGTGTGTCTGCTACTAATGACAGCTTCGGCATATGGGAAGCAAAAACTGAAGAAGGAACTAGACAAACAGGTGATCGCTCCCAAGAACTGACAGACCAAGTAGACAAGACCCAGTCAGGCTACGGAAAGCCTGAAGAGCTCTGTTAAACAATGCAACCTAACAACGATCTCAACACTGTGCCGGACCTGCAGAACACACCTCCCATTTCGGTTATGTCCAGGACACTCACAAAGGGGACCACGACCTGGGCCAGGAAGTGAGCCTCCGGGCCTCTGCAATGACTCACTCAGACAGTATTTTGTCTGATCCCAAAATAATTAAATCGGACACCAAGGTAGCAGCATACCATCTTCTTTTCAAACTCTCAAATACTTGGAAATCAATCAAGTCACTTGCAAATAAACACGTAAATGTGCATGAAGACCCCCCCCAACACAGGAAATCAGGAAATATATGAAACTCATTGATAACGGGAAGGAATGTAACATACGTCATGAACTACAGTTAAATATAAAAGTATTTGTAAGTTTAAATACATATAAAATGATGTTTTAAATAAATGTATAAGTTCTTGCTTAGAAAATGTAGGAGTAGAACAGCAAGTTAAACCCAACATCAATAGAAAAAAATGGGAGTAATAAGATAAAAAATTATTTAAAACCCCAGAAAACTCAAACAAAAAGTTACAGCTTTGAATACCTTAATAAGTCTGTTCAAAAAGAAGAGAAAACATAAATTACCACTAGAAATTCAAGAGAAGATATGACTACACATCCAAAGATATGTAAAAGTAATATAGTTATAGTATGAACAATTTTATAGGAATAAGTTAGACAATTCCCAAGAAATGGGGAAATTCCTCTAAAAAAACCACTTACCCAAACTGAGAAATGAAGTAATAGAAGCATCTGAATAACCCTAAACCTACTAAATAAATTGAACTTTGAATTTAAAACATTTTCACAAAGAAAATGCCAAGTCCAAGTGGTTTTATTGATGAATTCTACCAAACTGAAGGCTAGAAATAATACTGATATTACTAAATTTCTTCCACATATTAGCAGAAAAAAAAAACCACAGCTCTTAGGGCCCAATCACATCCCCAGTACCAAAGCTCAAGGACACTGATGCAGAGACTACAGACCAACATCCTTCACAAACATAGATGAGAGAATCCTCCCCAGAATATCCTCAATAGTCTACAGCTGCACGCAGGAAATACAGCATGGCGAGGCTAAGTAGAGCCCAGTCCTAGGACAGCAAGGCTGCCCCAACCTCCCAAAGTAATGTCACTCGCCACAGTAATCAAACAAGGGATAACTGTGACTTTACAGGTGGGAAAATCAGCAAAACTTTCATCTACTCTATATAAATACTCTCAGCACATTCAGGACAGGAAGTTCTTGACACTGGTGAGGGACATGTACAGAATTCCTCCAAATGACATCCTCATCCATGATGAAATAGTGAATGGTTCTGCCATGGTGTATATTTCCATCAGCCAGAAGCTGGAAACCAGCCCAGGGTACATCAGCAAAAGAATGGATAAAGAGACCATGGAACTCAAGAATAAAGATAAAAAATTTACACCAGGATCAAAGATGTAAATCAATGGTGGTTGCTGGGCATGGTGATGCACGCATGCAATCCCAGGACTTGGGAAGCTGAAGCTGGAGGATCATTGCGAGTTCGAGACCATCCCGGGCTACAAAGTGAGCTCAAGGCTAGCCTGAACTGCATAGCAAGACCTTGTCTCAAAAAGACAAAAAAAAAGCACACATGTTATTTCTTTGTCTTTTAAAACAAAAGATGTTAATGCATAAGTTGTTTTTTCCTAAACTAAAACCTCAAGATTCAGATCTGATTTCAGTATTGGTGTTTTGCAATAAATGCCGGGTTTGGGGTTGCGGTTTGGGTGCTCAGTCTCTAAAGCTTTCCCATTGCTGATCTATACATTAAATCAGAACACTTAACCTGCTAAAAGAGAAAATAGGTTAAAAAAGAGTCTGGACCCATAGGCAAGGACTTTCTGAACAGAACTCCAATTACACAAGAAATAACAGCGAGAAACAACAAAGGGGATCACATCAAATTCAAAAGCTTCTGCACAGCGCGGGAAACCACCAAAGGGTGCAGAGACAACTACAGAAAAACAATTTGCCAGCTACAGCTCAGAGGACTAATCTTTAGAACATATAAGAAACTCAAAAAACTAACCCCCCAAATAAAGACCCAATCAAAAAATGGGCATGAAAGTACAGTCATTATGTATCATACACATGTACTGATGAAACACAATAGTAATAGCTGTAAGAAACTATACATACATAAGAAAGAGCTTCCTACTGCTGCACCAGACTGCACAGACCACGTGGATGGCGACATGTCCTCCTGTCCCTCTTCCCCGTCCTCTGTCAAAGCGCCCTTCCTCCTGGGCACACAACCACAACAGTCCTGTCTGTCAGAGGTGGGGACATCAGGGACCCTCTGGGGTCTTTGACCATCGTCTTCTGCACTTGCCCCCTGGCTTCTGCTGTGCCCCCCACCCCCCACCCCCCATGTCCTCCTGTAAGCGCTGGGGCTGAAGGACCCGCCTACAGTGGATTAATCAGAAGAGTTCATGTTGTTAGGGAAAGGATAGGAAGGAGGCAAAGGCATTGTTTGTAACACTGCTGACCAAAGGGCTCAGGCTGGACTTCACTAGCGCGGCTGGACCGACCAGAGGACAGTGTGGACAGGTGCTTACAAGGTGAACAAAGCATCACACATGAGAGCCAGGATCACATCGTGCGCTGCTGCGAAATCGACCTGGCATGCAAGCAGCCTTCCCTGGTTGCTACATGTGACCAAGGGTCGCCAGGATCCTGCCAGCAACATCAGCGGGCTGCAGCACCCTGTCCCTTTGACAGGCCATGCACTGTCGCCCTATTTACCACCAAGAGCAGAGGGTCGCTGAGCCGGGAACCCAGACAGCTGCAGGGCGGCACCAGCCTCCTCTCTTATCCACTCCATGCACGTGAGCACATTGAAAAACACAAACCTCAAGGGAGGAGCCACATGGAGGGGCCGTGAATACCCATGCAGGTTCGCACTGCACACCAGGGTGCCACTCACTTCCTCCTCCTGCACAAATGCTAAATGAGCATCGGCCCTGACGTCGCCATGGCACACCAAGTGCCTGTCCCAAACGCACTCCTGTGTACCATGTGTACCACGTCCCGTGCTCACGGTGACATGGGAAGATGGGCGCATGCAGGGCGAGCTCCTGCCCTCTCTCCCCAGGCCCACAGAAAGACACGGCTCACCTGCAGGCAGCGTGGAGAACTCCACTGAAGCCTCCTTCTTCTCCCTCTGCTCGAGGGGCAGCTGCCAGGGCATCTGGTGAGGCCGTGCCAGGACCCGGACCTTATAGGCCATGTTGGGCCGCAGGTTGAGGAACTGGTACTTATAGCGCGCCGCCTTGACGACATCAAACTCCTCCTCATTGAGGAAGACGACGTGGCTGTAGTTGCTGTTGGTGGGCAGCCAGGACAGCTGCGCGGAGATCTGCGTGACGCCGTCCACCCGCAGGTGCGAGGGGGCCACCACCACGTCCTTGCCCACCAGCAGTGTGCACTGCAGTGCGTCCGAGCTGCCCCGGCTGGTGACGCACTGCACAGAGATGCGGTAGGTGCAGGCAGCCGTGTCCAGCTTCTCCACCAGGGCCTTGGTCCTGGCGCCCAGTGGGAGGCTCAGGCGAGGCTCCGTGTCCACCAGCACGGTGTAGCCGCTCACGGTGCCCCAGCCAGGAGGCACGGCCGGGGGCTCCCAGCCCACAATGACACTTTTGGCGAGCTGTTTGATGAGGGTGAGTCTTCTAGGGTAAGGCACAATGTCTTCTCCGATGTCATCAATGTTCATATCCAGCGAGCCCCCGCCATTGTCGGTGGCGCCCAGGTCCATGTGGGTCGGGGAGTGCAGGTCCAGGATGCGCTCGCCCTCCACGCCCACACCAATGCCTGAGTGGTTGATGAGATTCTGATCCTGTTCGCTGCCTAGGGTGCCGGCCAACCGCGACTCGCTGTCCTGGACAAAATCCACAAAGTTGGAGGGCACCAAGCCCCTCTGCCCATCCAGGAGCTCTCCTGTGGGGCACAAGGACAGGTGTCACAGAGCTACCACCTGGGGTGTTCTGGGGTGCCCCAGCACATGCAACCCCTGAACAGTAGGACCCCAAGCAGTGGATCACCACTCTAGTGTACCCACACCATTATCTAAGTAACCCTCCAGCCCTAGTCGGGCTTTCACACCAGGCCACCGTGTTAGCACACGACTGTCCCGACCAGGATGACGCCCCACAGGCAGGAATGTGTGCCCCCCAATGCACAGCCCTGCATGGCCCCCACACCCAGAGGTGCTCAGTAAACACCTATCAGAGGGACAAACGAGCGCATCACATCACACTCAGGGAGGTTAATCAGCACCCTCCAGATGCCAAGGGGTCACACACGAGTCAGAGGGTGGCACCCGGATCCCCACAAAGCACCAGGGGTGACTCGGAACTCCCACCATGTCCACCTGACGTGGAGTGGGACTCGGGTTTGGCATCACAGCTGTTGACAAGTCAAGGAACAGAAATAGCTGCCGTCTGAGTGTCATTTGTGGCTGCAGACGGCAGGCAGGGACTTTCGTGCTATGAACCAGTCTGATGATTTTGTGATCTTGGGCAGTGAGGCTCACAGGCTGCCTCTGCAGAGGCCCTGACTGCAGATGAGTGTGTGGAGATGATTCGGAGATGAGGCAGGCAGGTGGCTTCCAGCACCCAGCCCCAGGAATACGGATCCTATTGTCACTGCAGGGACCCGGGGAGGCTAAGAGATACCCAACACAGATTCTGCTCCAACACACCCTGCCTCAGGGGCTGGAGCCCTGCAGCCAGCCTGTGCCCACGTCTACCCTGCAGAGGGCATGTTGACCGTGCTAGCAGTGCTGAGTTCTAATGGGGTAAACAAGGACCCAGAGTCTGTCCCCACCCAGGGCGTAGGTCTTAAGGTTGCTGATCCCTTGTCTTGAAGTCAGTCTGATGGGGGAGAATCAGGATGGTCAGTCATGGCAGTAGGGATGGTGATGGTGTTGATGATGGTGATGGTGGTGAAGGTGAAGGTGATGGTGGTGATGGTGGTGATGGAGGTGATGGTGATGATGGTGTTGGTGGTGAAGGTGAAGGTGATGGTGGTGATGGAGGTGATGGTGGTGATGGTGATGGTGGTAAAGGTGATGGTGATGGTGATGGTGATGATGATGGTGGTGATAGCTAACACTTGCTGAGCAACAACTATGTGCCAGGCTCTGCCCCAAGCATTTCATATCCATTATCTCACTCACCCTCTGGGCTACCCTAAAGGTGGGCACTACTGCTATCTCTATTCTGCAGCAGAGAAAACTGAGGCTGAGAGATGAAGTGTCACACTGGTTATGGACCCTAACTGTGGAGGCCTGCCGGGTGCAAAGCTGGTGTGAATGCTGCAGAGATTTCAACAAGGGCTTGGCTCTGGCAGCTGTGTTGGGCACATGCATCCACACAGGAGTGTGACTCAATGGGCAGCACACCCAGAGCCACGGTGCTGCCATGACGTCGGCCCACAGTGCCCGGTCACCGCCTGCTGGGCTTCTGCTCGTGACGTCTCAGAGGCACCTGAGGCCCCAGGAGCCTCTAATGAGTGCCCCCAGATTGCTCTGGGGGACACCATCAGGGGACGCTGCAAGCTCAGAGGAGGGGGAGAGGCAGAGGGAGGCCAACAGCCAGGGCCAGCAGGAACCTGCAAGTCTCCACCCACCACAGCCCCGCCCAGAGACCTTCGTAGAACCCGTCCTCGTCCATGTCCCCGTAGATGTAGAGGTATTTGCCCGCCGTGAGCGGCAGCTCGGCTTCCGGGTTCTCATTGGGCCCATCGAAGGGGTTGTAACTGGAGGAAGAGCACAAGGCACCCATTAGCTGCCCTGGGCGGGGCTGCACCTCACCCTGCCCCGGCAGGTCGGCTCGGCCCCTGCTCCTTGTACTTGACACTGCGGTAACAAACCCATGAGACAGTGAGGGCTGCTGAGTCCTCAGGGCCCTGCAGGCGCTCCCTCACTCAGACCAAGGGAGGAAGGGCTTCTGCAGCCTCCACCCACACAGAGACCCATCCAGGGACATGCGTGTGATTCTGACACTGTTTTCACTTCTGTCTTTTCCTCCATAACTGAGCATTTCCAAGTTAATGAGCAAACAGAAAGTGAATCCTGTAATCATTATGTGTAACTTAGCTAAGGTGGCATCACTATAATCGCTATACACACTTCTTAGCAATGAGATTGGTCTTTTCGCTGTGCAATAAGTGTGCTATACTTCCACCTCACAAAATATTCTACCATGCCACTTTAGTAGGTGTACAGCATTCCACCAAACAAGAAGCATTTTCCTTGACGTGGAACGCTGAGGCTGTTCCTGACTTCTGACCAATACATTCAGTGTTGTATCAAATACCCTTACACACATATCTTTGCACACTTCCACAATTTCTCCCTAAAGATAAATCCTAGGCGGAGTCTTTGTTTGGTCAAGGTATGGGCACTGTTCAGTCTTGAGTGTGTACTGCCAAAATGTACCAACAAACGGAGCCACCACCCTTCCTTCCCACACCCAGCCCGGGAATGGGACAGTGCACACCCTTGAGCTCTCAACTTAACTGAGGTTAGTATTTGTCAAAATCTTGGTCATAATGAGGTGAACGAAGATGAACTTGGAATGTTCTCTTTAAAAGGTTAACTGGTGTCAAATGACAGAAAGGGCTCAAGAAAACAGAGATAGCCCTGCTGCTCCTTGGAGGGGCTGACATGAGAGTGATCCACTCATCACCACACGGTCCTGTCTGTTTTAGCTGGTCACCAGTACATCTCAGCCAGGAAAGCAAAGATATTATTCCCCACCCTGACAGCCCTGGGAGGGGAGATGAGTTTCCCAGCGTCAGGATATTGGGGTGGGCTGGGGAGCAGAACAGGGGCTCCTGCTCCTGCCCAGGGTACTTCTCACGTGAGTCTCCTCTGTCCCAGTTCCCACTGCCCCAGTCCAAGGGGTGAGCCCTGGGCATCCAGGGGTGGGCAGGGAGGGGGCCTGGAACCTCTGCATAGTGTTAGCCACCTGGGGCTCGCCAGGAGGACAGGCTGGCACTCAGCCACCTGGCCCCTATCCCTATGCGCTGGCACCAAAGGCTACTGGGCAGCTACTCTCAGATTCGCCCAGCCCTGTGGACCCTGCCTTGCTGTCCGTGCTGCAGGGACAACATGACGGGAGGTGTGGTGGGGAGCTACCCCACAGCGTGGCCCTGTCCGGGGATGGCCACTGTCCTGTCATCTGCCTGTCCCATGTGGGAAAGTAGCAGATTTTATATCAGCAGGAGACAACACCGTGGTTGGCAGGAGGCTTTGGGAAGCCATGCCGGCTGGAGGAGGGAGGCAAGGGTAAAGACCTGCGGACCAGCTGTGAGAGGGAGTCGTTGCCAGTCACTGCCCAGGGCCCGGGGCAAGGGAGGGCAGCCTCACACCTGTGCCCACGGCTCCCGGCACCCACCTTCCCTTACCCTGTGCAGACAGCAGCCAGGCACCAGCACCAGGGCAGGGCCTAGTCCCAGGGGGCCTCGGCCAGCTGTGCGTGCCAGTAACAAGCACAGCCCAGGACAGAGGCTGCGTGAGCCCTGAGCCTCGGGCGGGAAGTTGTCAGGGACCCCAGCTCACATCTGTGTGTCTGCACGTGGAGGCCCAGGCTGCACTGCTGACCAGCCTACCAAAGGTCCTTCAGCTTCCAGAGTTGAGCAGGACTGTGCCTGTGACACCAGCTCACGGGACAGACACCGCAGGTACCAAGAGAGACAGCTAGGTGCTAGGTGTGGCTGGCGCCAGGAAGGAGGGGAGACACAGGGAGGAGGCAAGGAGGCCCACCACGGGCCCCTGGACAATGCCTCCACGCCGTGACACCCATTTGCTGCCTGTTGTGGGCTGAACTGTGTCTCCATCTGGGCACACAGGATCTCCGCAAACGCCTTCGAGACGGTGCAGGCAAAGGGACACGCACACCCAGAAGGAGCTGTGTGCAGGTGGAGGCAGGGACCCAGGGACGTGGCCACGAGCTGAGGGGCACCCGGGGCGCCAAGGCTGGAGAAGGCAGCAGGCATCTCTGCCCGGAGCCCACGGGGGCCACCAGCTGCGGAGCTACAGGAGATCACACGAATGCAGCATGTCTGCGGCTGTCAGTTCCGGCAGTGCCGTCCAGCTCTGCCAGAATCCGCTCCCCATGTGGCCAGAGCAACAAGGTCCACCCAGAGCCCACGCCGGCCGTGGAGGCTCCAGAGCCAGCGTATGCACTCTGGGCACACTATGGGTGAATTTGGGGGCCGTGGATGCAGCTGTGGCCTTGGGGACTGGCTCCGGGCCCCGGCCCTTCCTCTCCATTCTGCTCTCCTACTCTGCCTCCTGCCACTGTGGGTTGGTCATCTATGCTTGACTGGGCGCTCCCACCTCCAATCCAGCACACTTGGCCCAATCCCTGCACCACAAGCCATGTTGGAGCCCCCGCCCTGCTGAGGGCAGCTTAGGCAGCGGTGCTCACCTGTAGCGGGCAACACACAGGTGGACTTTCCCCGAGTATCTCTGCTTTGAGGTATTGGAGTTCCATTCATTGTCCATCTGTGGAGATACACGTGCATGCTCGGTAAGCAACGTCGCAGCCTACACCATCCCTGCCGAGGCACACAGGGGTCCCTGCTAAGACTCCAGCCCCCGGGAAATGGCCCAGACTGCAGATGCCCACGAGGTGGCACCCCACCCATGGACACCTGACCTGTGTCCCCTGTCCTCAGGCATCTGATGGTGCCCGGCACACAGAAAGGATGACACGAGGGCCCTGAACCTGTCCCCACCTCTGCCTGCTGTCTTGGGTTTGCTATGCGGGAATCGAGCCATTTCACCTCCTTACACACCCTACAATAGTTTGGGAACAATCCTAGGGAGGGAAGGGCTGACCAGACACCATGGTCCCTGCCTCCTGCATGGCCACCTCTGTCCACCCAGGGCTCCCAGCTCCAGCAGTCAGTAAGGATGCTCAGGACTTCACGGGTGTGGGGAAAGGGCTAGGGGGAGGACAGTGGGACGGCGTCACCACCCTCAGGGATGCAGGAGACACAGCACCAGGCTGGTGGGAGGACTCACCTCGGACTCAAATCTGCATCTTGGGCTGCTGGATCTCAAGAGGAAGCTGGGCTTAGCAGAGCTTGGAGGCTCTGATTTGTCCCCTGGGAGTGGGGTGTGGTCACTGGTCACAGAGTAATGCCCAGCGGGTCCCTCGTGACCTGGTGGGGGACACGGAGCCACTGGAGCAAGGAGACAGGCGAGATGTGGACACCAGAGCAGCTGGCCTGCCCTGACCCCACTCTGGCCTGTCCACCCAGTAGCACCCACCTGGCTGGATGAGGGTTTGGGGCAGGAGTCCACAAGATGGGTGGTCCATCACAGAGATTAGTGAGACCCCCCTGGCAAAGCGGCTTTCATCTTCCTTGGCTTAAAGCGGAGAGCCTATAAGGCTTGGTGACACTGCAGCCCTTTTATCACCAGGAAGAAGAAAGCTCACAGACAGGAGCCAGAGCTGGGGAGCAGCTGGCTCACTGCTTGTGAGTACAGCCCCTAAATCACACACAGTGCCCCCGCAGAGCCCCACAGCTCCAGGCTGACTGAGGCTGCGGCAGGCAGGGCCCGGGGTGGACGGCCACAGCAGAGCCTGCTCCCAGGGACAGCCCGTCCCTCCCACCTGAAGCCATGTCAGGCGCACAGCAGCTGCACAGGTACACCCAGTGAGGGCCTCAGCACCCCACTCGGAGCCCCGGCAGTGCCCAGGACTCTGCCTGCAGACCCACATGCTGCTGCCCTCTCCAGGTGCCAGGGGACCCCACAGGAGCCCGAGACAGACACACGCTGAAGACAGAGACCTGAGCCATGAGTGCCAGGACTGGAGTTAGCTGTCACCGCAGCACAGCGGAGCTAGCCTGACTGATGCCCTGTCCTGGTGATGGAGGGATCTGGTGTCACAGCAAAGTCACCTGTGCCCCCCTAACCCGCACAACCAGCGTCCTAGGGAAGGATAGCCAGGTGCAGCCGCTTTTTCCTGCCATTCCACTGGATGAGCAAACACGAGGTTAGACACTTGTTTCGGTTTATATCTAGATGTCGCCAAAGCCACATGCACTCCTCGGCAGGGCTTTTGGAAGGTGATTGGATGTGGGGCTGACAGCTGACCTGCCCTGGGGAGGAAGAGCCTGGCCGGAAGGGGCAGTCACTGGGGGCGTGGCCTGGAAGGGTTCAGCTCCCTCCCAGCTCCTCCCTTCTCTCCGCTTGTCGTCCACCACGCCCTGAGCAGGTCTCCTCCGCCAGACCCCTCTGCCATGCCATCCCGCCTTGGAGAGAGCAGATTATGGACTGAACCCCGAGCCCACATGAACTTCTCCTCCCTCAATTTGTGGGTATTGGGCACTGTGTCCCAGAGATGAGAAAGCAACTCAAGACACAAACGCAGGCCCTCAAGCAGGCTGTGCAAATGCACACCCTTGTGACGCCAGAGGTACAAAGCCTGCAGCTGAGGCTGTGGTCCCTGAAGCTCCCAGCCTCCCTTCTGGAGGGACGGTGGCCAGGTGGGTAGTACCCATCCATCACCGGGTCAGGACACTTCCTGATTTCCAAGGTGACTCTGACCGGGGTGGTTCCCACCCAGTGCCCTGGCGCTCTCACCTCACGCTCACACGGGACATGGCTCTACCTAGCATCAGGTCCTGCTGGGCTCGCGCTCAGCCCTCTACTGCCCAGCACCCTCCGGTGGGGCACGAGGAGCCGGCTGCAAACAGGAGAGAGAGAACCTTGGCCGGGGCCTTCTCAGCGCCAGTGGCCGCCTACATTTTCCCATCAGCACTGCCCGCAGGTCAGGGAGAGGGGAAGGTCTGTGGACAGGCAGCAACAGAGCGCAGCATGTGCTCGTCTTCAGAAGGAAGGAGGCCTGCGCCCTCACAGCCCAGGTACTGGGCCCTTCTGTGAGGAAAGCACGGCACACAGAGAGCTGTACCCTGCTCCGCCACTGGGCTACCAAGGCCTCGCCCTAAAAGCAGACAGCAGAGGGCAGCTGCCGCGGCCAGGCGTCACTACGCTCATGAGTGACTTGTGAAGATCTGGCCCAGAAAGGTGACTGAGTTGCTCCCAAATACAGTAGGCAGAGGCGGAAAGCCACGGGCGGCCACAGCTCACCACAGCAAGTCACGTACTCTACAAAGCACACCAGCACTGGAAGGCTCCTGACACACGAGGACGCATCAGGGGCTCAGACGCCGGCCTCCCCAACCAGACGGTCCGCACCACCGACACGCACAGATGTGTGCACGAATGGAATCATCACATATGTACAACTATGGGTCAGTTGCAATTTTTAAAAATTAAAAATGGTAATAATGCTGTGCTGTATGCAGATTTACTAACAGAGAGGTGGAAGAGGTTGTCTTTAAATCCATTCCTCATCCCACTTAGAAAAAAATTATAGCTTAAGTTTTGGCAATGGAGAATTAATATGTTTTATAAATACAAATACCACTACTAAACACAAATGCTGTGAAGAGAATGCTGTCTTTTGTTTCCGAAGACGCGATACACTACAGCAACAGACAGACAGTGAAGTGAGATGGCAAGCCTTGGGGGACAGGTTAGGACCGGAATCCACGCGATGTCCCGGAACAAATGCCACAGCCACAAAATAATAGGCAAGTATTCTCGCAGGAAAGAGAAAATGGGTTTTAACCAATGTCACACTTCCTTTACCACGAGCCCCTCTTCCCAGCTCGACCTCCACAGGCTCCCCAGGAAAATGCCTGCCCTGCCTCATCTGCCCATATCCCACAGCCCCGTGCCATGCACAAGGGTCCTATGCATGTCTTCATGCAGATCTGTGCCCCACTGGTGTACCTGCAAGCTCTACAACCAAAGTGCGCCCCACGCTGGCAGGAGGTATCCTCTGACAGACAGCGGCTGGGCCTCCATGGTGCACAAGGACTGGTGATGCCAAAACCTGCTTTCTCTCTGGTAGTCAGATCTGGGTGCCCGCCATGCACCTGCTGACCAGAACCCCATAAAGCATGGCACAGGGCCTCTGACGGCCTCCAGCAGGGCCACAGTATTTCCCGCTGACAGAGGGTGTCACATGGCTCTCATGGAGGGAGACTGCACCAGAGGCCATTCCCCATGTCCTGTCCACAACTTCCCACCTGCTCTGCTCTAGCATCGGGCTGACATCACAGCGTCAGCTCCCAAACTCGGCCCCAAACAAGGGAAGGGGCACACACTCCTTGGTCATCCTCACCCCTATTCTGTTCCCCCGACCGCAATGCCCGTCCTCTCCTGCATGTGCTGCAGGAAAGACAGAGGGAGAGGGAGGTGTGGGGGCCAAGGTCAAGGGCAGCCGCTCCATTGCCTTTGATAAACAGCCCCAGAAAGGCTTATCCCTACTGTGATAAGAACCAGCAGAAACATGGAAAGTGTCTTTATGAAAATCCAAAGTGAGGTTCTGACATCCTCTCCCCTCAGGTTAGAAAGGAAAATCAACTTTGGAGCAGAGGCCTGTGGCCCATGTCCCTTCTGGTGTCCTGGCTGGCATTCTGCCAGGAGCATGTGGCCAGTCCATGAGGTCCGATTCAAAGATGCCCAGGACCTCAGCCAGATCTGCAACACATGTGCAGGGTGCGGCCACGCCTGCAGCTCCTGCTCGGCGTCCTAAACCAAGACAGGGTAGGGACAAAGGTCACCACTGGGATGGAAGGAGGGGGCTCAGGCAGAGGCATGAGCTCCATGCAATGCCAAGGACCAGGACAGTGAAGCCACATGGTGTGTACCACTTAGACCCCAGCCAGGCCCTTAGGCACCCCAGCTCTCTGTGTGTGCTGTGTGGACCCCGAGAGCTTCGGCTTCCCTTTATGAGATATGAGCCTAAGACTAGCGCTGACCACCTTGCACTGTGGACCCAGCAAGGTGCTTGGGTTCCCACACAAGCATGGACATCAGCGTCCTGTGCTGGGTCCTGCTGTGCAGGTCCTCACAGCACCTACCAGCTATGGTCACACAGCCTTCCTTGTGCAAGTCCACCAGGGCAGGGCAGGGTGACAGGCACTCACCCTTGCCGACAGAGGTGGCAAGTCCGTTCATGAACCGCGGGAAAGCCTTGCCAGGGACCCCAGGGATGTCTGGTGAGGCCACCTTGCCACTGCCCAGCAGGTCGATCTTCCCAGCGTGCTGCCGGAACTTCTCCAGGTCCCTTGACAGCAGGTGGAACTGCTCACTCTGGGTCCGGCATTTCTCCTCCAGCTCTCGGACCCTGCACTGCACGAAGGGTGGACAGATCAGCAGGCAGCGCGAGGTGGAGGGGATGTGTGTGTGTGTGTGTGCCCAGGCAATGTGCCCACGTGTGGCAGGTGCTGCCTCCACCACCAGCTCCCCTGGCAGCCTGGCTGCTCGCCACTGTGCCAAGCCACAAGTGCCGGGAAACCCTGCTGATGCTCAGCTCACAGCCAACGGCAGGTCTGCTAGGCTGAGTGTGCAGCAGGCACTTGGTGGCTGGCGCCCTGCAGATGTTGGGGTCTGGAATGCGAGGCCAGGCTGGCTCCGGCTCGGGGACAGCCCAGTTGCTAACCCACCCAAGCAACACCTCCCCTTGGGGTGCCCACCCCAGGGCCACGGAAACCACACCTGCTCCCAGCAGTGCCAGGTGGTTTCTACCTGCTGGGCAGGGTTAGCAACATTACAGACATCCCGGGAGCCCCAGGGAAAAGACACACACAGGACAAGGGCCACTCAGCGAGCTTCCTCCGCAGGCAGGGCAGGCATGGCTGGACAGTGGCCCACCATGAATAAATCTCTCCGACCTCTGCTGGCTTCTGCTAAGCTGTCCTCTCCCATCCCTGCCCTAGTCCCAAAAGGAGCCACAAGGATGGGGCTACTGGGGTTCCTCTCCACCTCTGCACCTGCCCTCCCTGCTTCCGCACCTCCTTATATCAGCTCCCTGACCACGTCCTGTCTGTCTGCAGGTGGACCACAGGCCCACGCCTGCCTCTGCTTGCTGGTTTGTGGATACATCTACAACATTGTGCAGTCAGGTATGCGGTCAGTGCCTGGAAACTGCTGAATCAGTGAAGAGGTTGGAAGGCTGTCCTGCAGTCCCTGTGCCTCACAGGGCGGCTTGTCACGTCTGAGGCAAGTCCGCCCCTTGCTGTGCCCATGCTTGGCTGGCCAGAGCAGCTGCTCTCAGGCTGTCCTTGGTCCCTCATGTGGTCTGGCTTCCTGCGGGCGGCAGGGCCAAGAGGCCAGGTTTTCCTCTTCCGGCTTCCCGTGGTATTCCCAGAGCCGGGCACAGGTGTTGACACCATGCCAGTGGTGCTGCTCAATCGATGTTTAATGCTCACAAAAGTGGATGCGGAATGGGGGCCGAGGGGCCCACACACCCAGGCAAATGGGGACTCAGCCCCATCCAGGGCCTCGGCCCTTCTCCCCCTCCTTCCCATTCCCACAGGCACCAAGCATCTCAGTTCCTTCGTCCAGACTGAATCCCTACTTATGTTGAGATCATAGACTTCTAAAAATAAACCTGGCAGGTCCCAAGCCTATAATTAATGTCTTCGATTTATTTTAAAACTTACCAGGTTCTTGTTTAAAAGTTGAATGGGTTTGGCCAGGCAAGTGCTCTCCACAAGAAGGTGTAGATGAGACCTGGAGGCTCGGGGCACAGGGGTGATGCCAGGTACCTCAGAGCCAGGGCTCGGGGCCAGCTTAGCCCTCGAGACAGTGCCAGAGCAGAGAGTCCCAGTGCGGAGAAGGGGCCGCAACGGTGTGGGCAGGAGGACAGGATGTGCCCTGGACTTCCTTCTTATCCACGGGGCTACAGGCACTGCAGGGAGGTGGGACCCGGGTGGGGGGGCAGCAGACAGACCTGAACGTCCTGCAGGCCGGGTGTATGCAGGAATTGTCCCCAACAACCCACTTCTGCTCTGGGCGCCTGTGGAGGCGGCAACTATTGAGCGAACAGGGTGCTCGTCTAACACTGCTGCACTGACAAGGCTGCAGCCCCAGAGGGCACAGCAGCGGCTGTGGGGCTTTGCTGGGGAGGGGTGACCACACGAGGTGCCACTGGGAAGTGAACCCTCTGTCCACTGGCCGTGGTGGGCTCCCATGAACCCACTTACGTAGCCAGGTCCCACAGAACTGAGCTCCAAACGTGGCCTGTGACCCCTGGGCAAAACACTGCCCCACAGTCCTGGAGACCCATTCTTGGGGGTGCGTGGCAGGGTCCACAGGACAGTTTTGGGGCTCCTTGTGAGTCTAAAGTCATTTCAAAAATAAAAGGATTGAAAAGTCAAGTGAATTTTAAACTACAAGACGATGGCATGGTGCTGTATGGGTACAGAGGAAACCATGAGCCTAGTGAGTGGCCGGCAGGGGCTGGCACCCAAGGAAGGGCCTGGGTGCAGGCTGCATGGTCTCTCTGCCCAGCCTGGTCCTCTGAGGCCCAGAGAAGGCAGCCCATGCGTGTTCAGGGGCCAGAGTGGATGAGCGTGAGCAAACCTGCCACAGCCAAGTCAGTGCAGCGCAGACAGCTAGCATGGACAGCCGTGAGCTAGAACTGAGCCTTCAACACAGCAGCCCAGGCAGCGGGTGGCAGAGGAGCCATTGGAGCCGCCCAGGAAAGCCTGCTCATGGGAGCCATGGACAGCTTCTCTCGGAGAGGCAGGAAACTCGGCTGACTCTGGCACAGAGGGAGCTGCTCAAAGGGACACCCAGCCTCAAGGACACAGGGAACTAGGGAGCCAGCCTGTTACAGCTTGTGTCTAAATGTCCCCTCAAAGCCTCACGCACACTCGTATGTGGGCTCTTCAGCACTGGCTGGATCTAGGGTGTGTGGTGCTGGGATTAAGGGTGTGTGGTACTAAATCAGTCCATGGATTGGAATTAGCATAGCTGTGGGTGTAGATAATGGGAAGTCCCACCCTGGGCATTAGCAGCACCACCCAAAAGGCTTGCAGCCCGCATGGGATAAAAGGGAAAGGCAGGCTTGCTGCTGCTGCCGCCGCCATTGCTGCTGCTGCTAGCGGCCTCCTGCCTGCCCTGCCATGGACTGTTTTTCCTTTGCTAGTCCTCTCTGCCATGCTGCCTTGACTTTTTCCCCACCCCACCCCCCGGTACCAGGAATCGAACTCACGACCTTTCACTTGCTAGGCAGGTGCTGCGCTGCTGAGCTAAATCCCCAGCCCCCCATGCTGCCTTGCCTTGAAGCTGGCTCACTATGAACTGAAACCTCTACAAACTGTGAGCCAAAATAAACCTTTCCTCCTTTAACCTGTTTCAGGTATTTTGTTCCAGCAATGAGAAAAGTAACTAAGACACAGCCATGGGCCATGGCCCCCACAGCGCAAGCCTTTGTGCCAGAGGCTACAACCAGACAGTCCTAAGCAGTGGGCGAGGCCAGGAAACAGGTGAATAATCTGAGGATGGGTGGGGTGGCAGAATCATCTGGGTGTGTGCTGTGTACCCGCAGGACTGCCACTGCTGCCCAAACCGCAGAAGGACAGTTCATCTTGCTGAGGGCATGAGATGACTTTGGGAAGGACAGGCCAGTTAGTGGGTCCTGCAGGGAGCCGAGGTCCTGGATGGGGAAGGGCAGGCCTTTGCCACCCTCCTTGGTGTGCTCAGGTCTCCAGAGAGGCAGGGAGGTGTTAGTTTCCATGGAAAATCTCCCCTTTCCAACACTCGCCAGGGCTTCTGCTCAGCCTGGTGTGTCTAGAGACAGCCAGGCCCCTCCCAAGGCGCAGGTTTTATCCCCACATCAGCAGTTGGGCTATATGGCCCTGCCTGGGTCCCCCACACACTGGATGGCCTTCCCCATGTCCTGGGACCCAGGGGTCTGTCATTCATCACCCTTTGGGGTGGAGACGCACAGCCAGGGAAGCAAACATCCACTTCTACCACCAGTGGCCCAGGGTGTTGGCACTGCTCAAGGGCTCTAGCTGCTTCCAGGTAAGCCAGCAGGGCTACTTAGCACCTTCCGGGACAGCAGGCATTCAGTGAAGATAAAATAGCCACACCTGCACTGAGGTTCATGGGTCTGCATGTGCCTGGACCACGGCGCTGACCCAACTGCCCATGGGTCACTAGCATAATGCTTGCTTCCTTCCAGGAGCTGGAGGCAGCGCAGCCTCACCCTGACCATGGCAGGTATCTTTGCATAGCAGTTCTTACTTTGAGTCCCGGTTGGTGGTAAGTAGGCAAGCAGCACAGTCACCTGTGTGTGTCCATGGCCTGGGGAGCAGGTACCTGCAGGTGGGGCAGGGCCGGTCCCCCAGAGGTGAGGGTGTACTGGCCATGGCAGGCACATGTGGCATCAGCCAGTGCACATGCTCTGTATTCAGGACACAGAGCAGAATCGTGGGTATGGTATTCATAAGCACAGAGCAACGCAGAGTGCTAACCACAAGCTCCCACTGCCCATGCCTTCCCTACAGCTTCTGGGCTTCACCCAGAGGCTCCAAGGCAGGCACAGGGTATGAAAAGCGAGATGGCTGGTGACGACATCTGCTCCAAGGGCGGCAGTGGTGGTGGCAGAGGTGGTACACATACCCATGGGGGCCTGGAGGGCCCGCCACTAAGGTGCCAGATGCTCCTGGCAGGGGTGGGGTAGTGCCTAGCTTGAGTGGGAGATGCCACCCTGGAGGCCAGAGCCTGAGTGCTGATTGAAACCATCACAGGCACCATGATCCCTGAGCATAGCTCCCCACGGGGACCCTCCTCAGTGCCCTGGAGTCCAGCTGGGGTCCGCAGGCTGGTGCCTCGGTGTCTTGGTGCCTGGACCATCTGAAGGTGAGGCGAGCAGCAGCAGGAGAACAACCTTGTGTATGACTTAAGATTGAATCTGACCGCAGCCACCTGCTGCCAGGGCTTTGCGGGGGCCTGACCACTTCACTGCAGGGTGGGCAGGGTCTGGGCCAGGCTCATGTCGACTGCTGAGGGACAAGGTACTTCGGCCTCCTCCCTCCTCGGCCTTCCTGAGATGCCACGAGGAGTCATCTGCCCGGGCATGCCTCCAGGTCCCCTCGAGAGGAACAAGAATACCTTCAAGCTCCGAGATGCCGCTTCCATCACCTGTCCTGGGTTCGGATCTCCCTGCTCCTGGGCTTCTGCCTACACTGGGGCTCCCTGTTGGGCAGCTTGGTTAACTCCCAAGACTCACTACCCTGCTGAGCCCCACACCGGCGGGGTCCAGGACTGGAGTCCCCACCACCTGGCATGCCGACCCCTCCCTCGGGAGAGGATGGAGTGGACCTCGCCCTGGACAGTCACAGCACAAGGCAACCCTGCATCACTTCTCTCTGGCTCCAAAACAGCCTGGCCTCCCTGGTGACACTGGCATATGCCATGGTCTCAAGGACAGGGACGTTCATCTCCAGTTCACATCTCTGGATCAGCACTTCTGGGACGTTCATCTCCAGTTCACATCTCTGGATCAGCACTTCTGGGTTTGGGGTGGGGGTGGGCTTCAGGTCCTAAGTTCTGAGTGTCACAGAGTCATTCCACCCATATTCCTTCTTCCCGGGGTCCCAGGCCAGCTGCCTGGGCCATCAGTCCCCACCCTGAGGCCCCAGCCCTGTAGGACTGTGTCCTCCTCTGAGTTCACCATCAGGACATCAGCCCTGCCTCAGGGACACTCAGTGAGTCCCCAGCCTAAGATGCTAGACACTGACACCTAGAGGATCTGGGTCCCCTCTGCCCGTGGAAGGAGCTTTTTGTGGGCCAGCAGCAGGGGCAGGAAGGCGGGTGCTCAGGGGTCCCTGTGAATTCTGACAACAGTGACCTCGTTCTGGGCCACCGAGTACCACTAGGGGAGGTGCTTTCTCCTCCCTGTGGTCATTCAGATTCACAGGACCGGCCTGGCGGGGACAGTGCAGGCAGAGAATGGGAAACCATGTGCGCTGGGCTGGCTCTGTGCTCCAGAGAGCGCTCAGTACGGAAATGCTGGCCCTGGGCTCCCCGGGCGCTGACCCTGGATCCCCCACATCAGAAAGCTGCCAAGGTCAGAACTCGAGGAGCCTGGGGTGGGGAGTAGAGCTGGCCCAGGGTTCAGGGCTGCCACATGGGAGAACACAACCAGGCACATGGGCACTGGGCACTTGCAGTACCTGCATGCTGTCCAGGGCGCTCTGGGTGGGCCAAGCAGGGCACAAGCACAGGAAGAGGTGGTGAGCAGATGGCACAGGCACCACGCGGCCTTCTCAGTGTCGCACCAAGACTGTGGCTCAGACGTCCACCAACAGCTCAGGGACAGGCCATGGCGGCCACTAGAGGCCATAGAAAGGACCGAGGCCACCACGTTGGGGGCTCCGGGGCAACTGAAGGAAAGGGACCCATTCCCAGCCAGGAGAGAATAGAGTTTGGGCAGGGGAGCTGAGCCCCTTCCCAGACCAGGCAAGCTCTGCCTGCTGCCCAGAGCAGCCCCAGGTGCCCACGAGTTGGCAGACGCTTTCTGGAAACCGATCTCAGTACAGGACGACAATGACGGGCCCACTTCTGAGGGAAGATCAGATCTGGAAAGGTCTCGTTGGGGTGCACAGCAGGGATGGAGAGGACAGGCCATCCAACAGAGGACAGCCCGGTTCCTTATCCAGAGAGCTGAGCCTCCCAGAATGCAGGAGGCCGGGAGGGGCGTCCCTGGCAACACACTGGGCTCCATCCAAAGGGGTAACTTTTTCCTGACCTCTGCCTTCTGTCCGCAGGGGTCACTTCCTTCTGACCTCTGTCCTCAGGGGTCACTCCTGCATGACCTCCACCCTCAAGGGTCACTTTCATCCTTGTCTTGGGCAGGTGGAACATGTGCCTATGTGCATACAGGGTGAGGGGCAAAGCCTTGGGGGTGACCCTAAAAGGTCTGCCACTCTGTCTGCTCACAGTCCTAAGGGAGGCTGATGGGGGTCAGAGAGCCAGGAGCAGCAGTGGCCACTCCCAAGTGCCACACTAGCAGGGAGGAAAAGGTGGCCGCCTGCCTTCCAAGCCCCACCCCTGGGGCCACAAGGATGGCCCAGGGCATTGAGGGCCACTCCCGTGGGGACGGCCCCCAGACAAGCAGGGTGGCATTGCCACCAGGTCCCTAGGCCCTCCCTTCTCTGATCCTGCACACCTTGACCATGTGTCCCCAGCAATCCGCCAGAAAAGACACCCACAGGACAGGACACCCCTGAGCCAGTGAGAACTGAGAGCTCGCCAGACACAGCACTGACCGGCTGTGTGGCCAGGGGAACATCATGTCACCCCCGTGCCTCAGTTTCCTCTCTGGCAAAGATGGAGACTGGCCCAGGCTCCTTGAGAGCAAGCGCCCTGAGCCCCAGTCCTGGTCCCCCGGCCCCACACCCACCACCCGCCCATCCCCCACGGGGAGGAGGGGCTCCGCTCACCTCTAGCAGCTGCACAGCCCCTTCGTGCTCCTTCTTGGCTTCAACCTGAGCCTGTGGGTGACGGAGACAGAAGAGCAGTGTCAGCGAGACAACAACGGGTTGGGTGTCTCGTGGGGCCGTGGTTCCACCTCCCACTCGCCTGCATCCCAAGGTCTACATGCGGGGCAGAGGGGGACAGGAGGAGACTTAGGCGGGCATGGCCCTTGGGGGACAGAAGAGCAGGGACTTGGCCTTGGCTGGGCAGTGCTCCTGGCCCTGCTCCCAAGAACGGTCCGCACAGTCCCCACCGTCCCCATGGACGGACGGTGGCTGAACCCAGAACAGCGGGCAGATTCTGCCAAAGCCTCTGCGTCCTCACTGCGGGGAAACAAGACGCCCTCAACTCAACCCCGAGGAGCCCCAGGTACCCCAGAGGCCCAGGCCAGGCGCTTTGCACCTCCAGCCAGTAGGCAGGGCAGCCCTGGACCATGGCCTTGAGGTAGAACCATCTGCTGCACAGAGGAGAAATCTTACAAGTTTCTTCTGTGGCCTGGGCAATGTAACTCATGCAAAACAAAAATGCGACATTGTGACTCCCTGTCCTCTGGACCCCAGACCAGGACTTGCAGCATCGGCTTTAATTCCAGCAGCCAGCCTTTGCCTGAAAAGAGTGGCAGAGGGAGGTCCTCTTCCCTTCAGGCCCAGCCTGAGAGGAGAGGCTGGAGTGGTGGCAGCCACGCGTCACCAGGAGGGGCTGAGCTGGGACAGAGGCATCTTCCTCAAGAGAGCAGCCATCCCCGGGAGGGCGGAGAGAAACGGCTTCGGCTGGCATTGGGCTTCAGCAGAGTGTGAAGCCAGCTGGCACGGGCCCTGGGTGCAGCCATCTCTGAAACAGCATCTTCGGTTACGTGTGCCAACAGAATTTCCTTTGGGGGTTTTTTGTCGCTTGTAAGGAAGCGTCCTAATGAACATCACCATCCACGGTTTTAAAGTCAGACAGAGTGACCCTCGGGGGGCCTCAGGCACCACCCTGGACATAAAGGACAGGAGCATCACACCAGGCACCCCAACAGAGGGGGTGGCAGCCCCAAGCCGACACGCTGACGTGTGACAGGACTGCTCCCACCCACGTGGGTGCAGCTGTCTCCTCACGCACTGAGTACAGATAAAGACGCGCACTGCGCTGTGACTTCGGTCTGGAGTCCAGGTTCCAGGGATGAGGAGAGCGGGGCCGCTCGCATTACAGATGAGAAGTGAGCATTATCTTAGCAGCTTCGACTTCACACCGCAAGACTGCCTGTGGGCTGGAAGAGGGAGCTGTTGGCTCCAGGCACGAGAACCAGCCTGCCGAGAAGCAGCCTGCGCCCCAGGGACCTCGCCCCGGCACTGCATCCGCGCTCCCACAGGGTGGGGAGCTGAGCCCCGTGCGTGTTACGGCATTCTGAGCGTAGCCCAAGCATCAAGGGCTTAAAATTGTTCCTCTCTGAACAAAAGCAGCGAGCACAACAATAAATAACAAACTAGAAAGAAGAAAGACAACAAAGCAGCCGAGAGCACGCAGAGATGATATAAATAACCGACGCTGCTGCTGAGCCGTTGAATCAGTTTTCAAGGGGCAGAGTTAAAACTGTGCACAGGCTGGGAGGGCTCTGCCAAGCTGGCACCGGCAGCGAGCTTCCGGCTCCTGGCGAGGACTGGAGTTCCTGGTCGTGGGCGAGTTGCAACAGGCCGCTTGGGCGTTAGAATAGATCGTTAAATTTAACAGTTCCAAAGGCAGCACCGCGTTCCTGTGAAATCGAAATTGCAGCCCCAGCCCCAGCCCCAGCCCCAGCCCCAGTGAGGCTCATTTCAGGGCGAGTGCTGCCTGCAGGTGGGGGTGACGCACGCCCTTCCTTTGTGTACCCAGGGGCTGTAGAGCTGTGAGGGAGCCATCAACTCAGGTGCCAGGCCCTCCCGATGCCAAAGAAGGGGCGTGTCGCCAAAGGGTCCAAGGTCAGGGTGGGCAGGCAGCATGGAGCAAGGGTCCTCGGCAGGCCAGGAGGCATGGAGGGCGGCAACTGTCCCCTGGGCTGGAATGAGGGATGTGGGTCACGGCAGCGCGAGTGAGGGCCACTCCTGTGCTGTGTAACAGCTCCCACAGCGTTGGCAGCACCCTCAGAACTGCAGGCTGCCAGGGTCTCAGCCAGGCCCTGACCTGGAGCTGGGCAGGTGGGAAGCTGGGGTCACACTGCCACCCTGGGGGACAGAGGGGCACTGCAGAGAGGATGAGGGTAAGCAGAGGGTCCTTGAGTGCCCACCCTACCCTGCAGGTCCTACAGAAAAGGCATAGAATGGCAGCCAGGCATGGGTCAGGCCTCAGGGCGCAGCTCCTCTTAGCACCCCCACTGCAGTAAGAGCCTTGAGACACAGTGGGCAGCTCGAAGGCAGGAAGGGACCCCATGACCACACGGCCCTGGGGAAGGGACAGGCCACAGGGACCTGGAGCCCATACTTAGCCCAGGAGAGAGTGTCAGGCCCACGCCCCAGCTGCTGGGCAATGGTGGGCACATTCACTCAACAGGCCTCCAGGCAGCAGGGAGCATCGGGCGTCAGGTCTCTCATGGCATTTGGACCACATGCTGTGGCTAAAGCACCCCGCCAGCCCTCCATCGCCCTCCTCGCTGCCCTGGGAGGCAGCTGCTCCTCAGCTGTCCCAAAGGCAGGGGACACACACGTGGCAACAATGGCTGGCGAGTCCCCTGTGCCCAGGGGAAGTGGCATCTCGTCAAGGTGACTTCGTGACAATACGTCACCTCTGCAGAGACCTGGGGTCCAAGGTTCCCAGCAAAGACCCCAGGAGGTGGACAGGCGGGGACAGAGAGGAGCCAGGGCCACGGTGTGGCCAGGCAGGGTGGGGACAAGGAGGCACCATTCGGTGGGGCCTGGGAGGTGAGCGCATGCAGGAGCTTCCCGGATGTGCGAGGGAGCAGCAGGACTTGGGGTGCCACTGCCGGGACCCCTGTGGCCCCACGAGTCTCCCTGCTGCTGCACCCCTGGCACCCCTCCTTCCTGTTTGCTCTTCAAGGTGAGAAACGGCTCCTGCGCAACACCCTCTGCACTTCTCGGTCCTTATGGGTGGCAGGGTGCATCGAGGTGCCACGGCACCCGACATTAGGTGCCAGGGTGGCCCCTGCAGACGTGAGGTGAACCCCATGGCCCCCCATGGCAGGGCAAAGCCACTCTGGCACCCCACGTCCTTCTTCCCCAGTGCTGGGCAGCCATGGCATGGAGGAAAGACCAACTCCGTGCCCAGCCTCCCTAGGAGGGCCAGGGCCCCGGCCAGGGCTCCGGGGATCTCTGGGCCCTGGGAGGGGAAGGGGCCCAGGGGACTGGTCCTTCTGAAGGGAGGAGGTAAACGGGTCATGTGTAGAGCATGGGGGACGGCGGTGCACTAAGAAGGCAGGAGGTCACTCAGGCGAGCCAGCTCTCCAGGGTGATGGGGTGGGTCCAAGACAGAGCAGGGCTGCATCAGGGAGAAGGGGCAGCTCTCCCGGGCCAGCTCCACACTAGGGCTGCCTCTGAATCACGGTGGGGGACAGAGATCAGTCTTGGGCTGGTCACTGGCCTATTATGGGGACTTCCTAATCTGTGGGTCAGGCTCCAGCTCTGCACTGTGGTCCTAGCTCCAGCCCTGCACCGGCCGCGTGGCCGTCATCCTCTACCAGACGCACTGAGCTCCCGCACCCAGGACCCCAGCTACTGTTGTTCCCCAGTGCAAAGCAAGTCTGCTCCTCGTCCCCAAGCTATTCCTCTCTGTCCTGGACCCCACAGGGGCTTCTTTAATCCTTCGCCCTCATTCACTCCCACTCCCTCTGGAGGGCCCAGCCCCGGCTCCCTGTGTGGTCGGAGGGGCGGGCTGAGCCGGTGGCCGGGGAAAAGTGCTCTGGAGGGCAGGTGCGGCCCGGGCCCTGTGCAGGGCATCCCCAAGTGAGGGTCCAGGGAGGACTCAGCCTCACGGCACACAGTGCTCAGTCTCCCTCTGAAGCCTTCTTCAAAGATGTCGGCAGCCCCCATCCACCATGTCAAACCTCCTCAGTCCCCTGGAGGACGCGTTCTCATGTCCAAAACAGGACGCCGCTGCTGGGAGAGTGGGCACGGAGATAACAGTCTGGCCACAGCGTCCCTTCTCGCCCAGCTCTCCGGAGAACTGTCTGTTGGGAAGCAATATCCTGCTCCCTTGTTGGAGAATATTTGAATTTCCGCAGCTTCTTATCTGTCTCAGACGGCTGGACGCAGCCCTCGGGCGGGAGAAAAAGGTGACATCTCCAAGCGGCCTGCAGCGCTCCCACCAGATAAGGCCGGAGGATATTGCTTCTCCGCGCCAGGCGCCCGGCTGGGCAGAGTGCGTCAGGGTCCTGGCGCCCACCCTGGCTTAATGAAACCCGCCCCTATCTGAGATCTGCTGAGAAGGGAAAGGCCACAGGCAAGCCTCACCTGAGCGCCAGCTCCCATAACCCTGGCGGGACAGTCCATCCCCGCCAGCCCACACCAGCGACAGTACATCCCTGCTGTAAAACCGAAGTCTGGGACAGGCCACGGGAGGGGTGAGGCCCCTGAGGGCACCGAGTCGCCGTGCAAGATGCCAGTACATACACCCGCCATCAGCACAGTGGCCCAGCTCTGGTCACAGGGAGGCCGGGCCCGGCCAGTGCTCATCCCTCCGCCCCGACGGGCACTCGCCGGCTGCAGTGCCAGCTACCCTGAGGAGGAGGGTGGTGACAAGAGGACACTGGGAGAGAAGCAGATGAGCATGCTGCTGACAGTGGGGACGGACAGATCCTCCCACCTGTGACCGCAGGCCTGGGGAGGGGACTTCCTGGGCCTCTGTCCCGCAGCCAGGGGACCCTCACGGCCATTCAGCTGCCCCCTCCCACCTCCCTTCTCTCTCTCCTCGACCTTCCCCTTGCTGATAGGATCGTGCTATCGACACTGCCCTGCAGACAGTAGAACCAGCAACAGGGTCCTCTGAGAAAGACCTCTGCAGCCCAGCCACGCCCACGGCAGCACTCACATTACCCCACACACACTGCAAAACCCAGCCTAGCCCCTCGTTTGGACCTGGGCCTGCCTTTCCCACAGGGCACCTTCCTGGAGGTTGGCAGGGGCGGCCTCTCTGTGCCTCTTCAGGGTGATCCTTGGTGCAGTGACTTCCTTGGCCTGGCCAGCCACAGTCAGAGCAGGCTCTGTCCTGCGGCCTCCCCAGCGACACCAGCACACAGAGGGCAGAAAAGGCCAGCACTCACCCACAGGAGGAGGAGAGCACCCGGGAGGGGAGGAGGGCTCTGAGCCTGCAGGGCAAAGGGCACCCCACGGCACCCCCAGGATCCCCAGCCCCCTAGGGCCCGGCTCACCTTCTGCAGTAGCTCAATCTCCTGCTGCTTGGCGTTGAGAACGGCCAGGGCCTGCTCATGCTCCAACTCCAACTGCTGCCTCCGCTCCGCAGCCTCACGCATATGCTGGGGGATAAGGGGTCTTGAGCGCTCCTGCCAAGCGCTGCCGCCCCACACTCGCCACCCCAGTACCCCAGCTGCTGCACCCAGGAGCAGCCGTGAACAGAGAAGCCGCCTCCTCTCTGCACCCGGGCTTTTCCACAGGCGGCGAGGGATGGGGAACCCGGGCCCAGCCAGGCTCCCGCCCCTGCTCCGCTTTTTATATCCTTGGCGCTGAGTGAGAGCACAACTCAGACCCCCGCAGAGATGGGGGGCTCCTCTCGCTGGGCCAAAGGTCTGTTTCTTCAGTCTGCCCAGGAAGTTTGCAAATAAGAGTCCAGGCCATCACCCTCGCTGCACCCGCTGTCCTTGCCTCAGCCCCCTGTGCAGCTGACCACCTCTGCACTGCCACAGTGACCACACCCACACCAGCATCCGTGTGGGGACAGCCTCGGGACAGGACGCCGTGGTGAGAGGGGACGTGCACTCTGCGTCTCAGGATGCGGCGTGGCGAGGGTCACCTGGGCAGTGTGGGTCCAATTCCATGTCCACTGCCTTCATTTTTTAGATTACGATGTATGTAAAAGGTGATTTTGACATCAACATTTTAAAATTGGATCTTTTACCTAAAAATCCTAAGTCCTTCAAAAATAGGAAGATCCCCCCACTCCGAGCACCTGGGAACCAAGGGAAGGAGAGTCCCTGTGGCCTCCACCCTTCCTAACCGATCTCACGTTGTGACAGAGGGGACCTTGGCCCCAGCTTGAACCGGTTGCTGATTCCTTCTTATTCACCTGTTATTTCACAATTTCACTGACTTCTAGTCTTTCACTGTTTGTACTGAGTGCATTTTGGAGTCTTAAAGCGGTGCAGCCCCAGTCACGAGGCAATGGCATAGTCCCCGAGGCAGACGCTGAGTGGGCAGAGGCAGGGAGGTCCCTGCCATGCAGAGGACGTGGGCAGGGCCTGGAGCCTTCGGGGAGGCACAGAGGCGCACGCTGCTCCTCTTGTCACTGTCCCACCATCTCCCTACCTCCACCCCGACACTCCTCTCCCCAGGGAGGTCTTGCAGCTGAGCCACTGCTCCCGGACGGGACGGGACGGTACTGTATGGGAGCCCCCCAGTCTCGAGTTCTGTGTAGCAAGGGGCTTGCAGTGCGCTCTTTCTTCGCTTCTAAAGCAGCATCTGTCCTGGGCTGGTTGTGAGGTGCTGTGACCTCCGCGTCCCCTCTGCTATCTCCCAAGAACTCTGAGCTATAGTCACCCCACTGCTCGGAGGCAGACAAGTGGTGGTTTTGCTGTTGCTATGGAAACTCTCACAGGAACCCGGGATTCTGGGAAAACAGAACTCCCTAACACATGAGCTGAAGCCCACAAAACACGGGCGTCCCCATCAATTACTCTAACCAGCTCACGCAGTTCTACCCTCTGTCTGAGCAGGGTGGATGGAAAGTCCGACACCCTCAGTATCCAGACACCGAAGTCTCGGGTCCCGCTGTCAAATGGTGGCTGCATCTGACCCCCGACACCCCCACATACTTTACACCATCTCCTACAACACAGACTCAGTACAGCGCACAGTACGTAGACAGCTGTCCTATCGCATTGTCGAGGGAACCATGGCAAGAAAAAAACTCCATGTCCAGTATAGGTGACATTTTCTTCCAAGTACTGTGCCGGATGGCCGGTTGATCCCTGGACCAGCAGCCCCAGCTATGAGGCGGTGCACACCCTCAGCTCCCCGCACTCCAGTTTGGAGGCCGGCAGGTCCCTTCCCCCTCCACATGCTGCTCTCTGGGCAGGGAACCAGTCACCCATGTGGGCCTGGCAGATTCTAGGAACCTCTTCATGACAGCCTCAGTGTCCCCTCTGCCCCACTGCCTCCCTGGGGGCCTGAAGGCCAGCAGCTCACAGCACTGGGTGTCCTCTGGGGAGCAAGGGGACAAGCTGGCCCACAGGGACGGCACTCTGAGGGGCTCTAGGATTGTCCCCCAGGCCCTGGCCTGCTGACCAGAGAAGTGACCCACAGCACAAGGAGCGGCCACGACCACAGTGACAGACGATGGCGATACAGTTCTTCAAACCCAGACCACACCGGGGTGGGGCGCCCCGCCATGTCCACGCCCGGCATCAGTCGAGAGCTATGTTACAACGGGACTCAGGATCAGACAGGCCAGGCCACTAGCTCAGGGCCACACAGCTTGAACGCAGCCAGGCCCGGACGCTGGACTTCGTCCTGAGAACTCCAAGACGAGACAACTGGAGATCAGGAAGCCTTTCAACTCCCTGTTTTGGGAAACAGATTCCCCGAGAGCCCCAAGAGCTTCCCAAGGGACAGGGACACTCCCCACGGACGAGGGTGAGGACACAGGGCAGGGGGGCACAGGGCTGGGTCACCAAAAGTCGCAATGCTGAGGGGGCTCAGATGGGCAAAACAGGTGCCAGCCGCATCACTGCCCAAGAGACAGGAGGCAAAGCCTCAGCTCAGCCCCTGCCCACGTCTCCTGTTCCAGGGAAGCGACCTTTTCACAGGTGCCACAGTGAGAAGGTCAAGGCCATGAGTCCAGCGTCAGACTGAAGGGTCCTGTGAGGGCACACGGCCGAATGGTCGGGGCCGACAGGTGGAACACAGTTGAACCCAAGCTGCCTGCATCTCAGCCGCATCGGGAAGGGGCAGTGCTCCGTCAGGGCTGGAGGAGCCAGACGGGACACAGCGGGCGCCGCGGGTGTTCATCACCGCACCTGCCACCTGGTGCATTGACACTGGCACCCTCCCTACTCTGCAAGCGATAGCCCGCGTGATGGACCCACCCAGCCCAGACTAGCACCCATGCCTCCCTAAGAAAACAGGTTTCGGGGCTGGGGATTTAGCTCACCGGCAAAGCGCCTGCCTGGCAAGTGCAAGGTCGTGAGTTCGGTTCCCGGTACCGGAGAAAAACCAAAAAAAAAAAAAAAAAAAAAAGAACACAGGTTTCCTAAGCGCTGGGAGTGCTATGCTAAGTACTGAACAAATGGAAGCCATGTGACGTCACAGCACCCTAACACGGTAAGATATTCATTCCCATTCCCATGGGGGAACCAGTCCTAGAGGCCTTGGAACTGGTCCAGGGTGTGCACAGTGCACATGGCCAAGGGTGAGCACAGCGCACACGGCCAAGGGGGACTTGAACCCAGGAGGGACCGCCTCCCCGCCGGCTGTGCTCACAGCCTCCACTGCCTGAGACTGTGGTGCGGGGTGAGCAGACCCGCGGTAGGACCTCCACATGGTTACCCATGAAGACTTCTCTGGGCCTGCAGTGACCCCTCCCTCTTGGTCACCTGCCACACAAGGAGGCGAGCACGACGCTCAAGGCAGGCGCGTGAGTGGGAGCCACCTGCATCCCTCCGGAGGCGACTGGCACCGCAACTCTCACGACTTCCAAAGTGCCAAGACGCTCATGTCCCCTCAAGCGCCAGGCCCAGGACCTGGGCGTGGTGCCACAGCCCCCATTTCACCCCAGGCCAAGTCAACCCTCGGTAGCCCTCCAGAGAGTCCCTTCTCAGAAGCACTGGGAGCACGCACCACAGCCAAGCCCGTTTGCACACCGTGCCTTCAGCAGGTTTATTTTTAAAGCAGTGATATTTATAGCCGGATGTCAACGCAAACACCAGCGCTTAAGTAGCCTGCAAATGTCAGGGGCGCTTCCCAGCCGCTGCTGTGCGGAGGGACTGAGCGGTGGCACCTCTGCTGTAGCCCTCCGAGCGAGGGGGGTCGAAACATCCTCCCTCCCTCCACAGGACTCAACGGCACCGCTGTGGATATCATGCATGTGAGACCCGCTCGCCCAGCAGTGACAGTGAGCTCTTCTGTGCACACAGCTTCCTTCCACCGGGCGCCTGGGAAGGGCAGGCAAGGACTGGGTCATGTCTTCAGATGAAAGACGGGATGGAGTAAGCTATTCTGGGTGGTAGCAACTTCCTGTCCCACGCGTGCGTCAGAGCCATCCATCAGGGCATTGAGAGAGAGTCATGTGAATTCTGGGAGCTGGAAGGCATTTTGCCAGAAGTGTCTGGATTTCTCAAACTAGAAAAACTCAGGTAACAAGGCACCCATTCAAAAGTCTCTGTAGTCCCACCACTTGGGAGGCTGAGTTCGGAGGATCACTGAGAGTTTGAGGCCAGCTGGGGCTACATAGTGAGCTCAAGGCCGGCCTGAACTACACAGCAAGATCTTGTCTCAAAACAGTAATTCTGGGTGTTCCTGATTCCTGGCTGTCTTCCTCCCGGACCTCCTTCGAGCTGCCTGTCCCCACCCGATCCTGGGAACAGGGACAGTAGCCCTCACTTCACGGTTGGACATGGCCTGCCTCCAACCCTCACTCAGTGTGTGCCCCGCGGGTCCTAGCACTGGGCCTGGGGGCAGCAGCCTCAGGAGGAGAGTTGGGTCGGCCAGGCTGCATGAAGTCATCGCCTGGGCGTGCCGGCCACACACTTGGGCAAGTTCCACACTTCTGAGCCTTGGTTTCCTTGTTTACCGAGTGGCAGAAAAGGACAGAATATCTGGGTACGGCTGTGCAGGAGCCGGTGGGACGCAGGCTCACACCTTGTGTCCACACCAGCGGGACCCAGCAGGGTGGCCGCCGTTTTCTGGCTGTTGCTTCCCGTGTCCACTATTCCACTTCCGCTTCCTGTTTCTTTTTGTTTTAGCATGGTGTTTTATGTATCCCTGGGTATTTTTAATAACTCATAATTGCTCCAGGGGTCTCAGTGTACATAGGAGAGTTTAAATGATCTACACAGAATGAAGATTTGTGCTCCTGGCACCTCCGTGTCCCCATTTTCACTTCTTCTTTACATGATATTTTCTTTCATGCCGCATCCACGCACCAAGCTCCGTCGGGCAGTGGCAGGGCTCCCTCGATCCACCCAAGGGCATCAGAATCGAAGGGGAGAAATGCGTTGGCCATCGCTCATCCTCCTGCCCAGCTCCCTGCCCTCTGCATGTCAGCCCCTGGCTCCCGCTGGGCGCCCAGAGGCAGATGCCAGACACAGCACAGACAAAAGCTGAGTGGCCGCGCTGTGTGATGCCACAGCCAAGGGGAGATGAGCACCACGGGGTAACCGCAGAGACGTGGCTGGCCGGGTGAGGGCTGCCCCTCCCCCCTCTGCCCTCCCTGCGGTGCTGCACTGGGCGTGGGACACAAGTGTCAGGAGGCAGCCCTGTCCTCCCCTCCACCCAGGAACCAGACAGAGTCCAAGGCAACCCACCAGCTCACGCGGCTCCTCCGCACACGACCATGTAACAAGACCGAGATGGGAACGTCACCAAGGGCTGTGCACAGGGTGTGCTCCTCAGGCTGCCCCTGTGGTCATGACAGAAGCCTCTAACCAAGGTGTGGCCGCTCCTCCTGCAGACGCCCAGGGAGAAGCAGTCCACGCCACCCTCCTGCCCGCTAGTCCTTGGTCCCCTGTGTCACTGCCTCTGCCTATCTGTGTCACCAGCCCTGCCCTGTGCAACTCTTCCCCTCCCGAGGACCAGCCACTGGACAGGCCACCATGCTCTAGGATGACCTCCCTTAACCGGTCACCCCTGCCAAGGCCCCATTTCCAACTAAGGCCACACATGCAGGTCTTCGGCTGCGACTTCACAATCACTTCAGGGACACAGCTACCCCCCAGAGACGTCCTGTTTGCTCCAGACCTGTCGTCCTCTCACATCCTTGGCCACTGTGGACACATCCATGTCCCCAGCCTCGGAGTTCTGTCTGCTGTTCGCCCGCCTCTAGGTCCCTGGAAACTCGCCCACCCAGGTCCTCATCCCCACGCAGCCTCGGCTAAGGTGTCCCCGTCCGACCACGCCTAGCTCACCTCTCCTCCCCCTCCCTTGTCACCTGCTGCCCCCACAGACGAATCTCTTAGCTCCTCCCTTGCATCCGTGTCTTCCGCACCCACCCCTGCTGTGACGTGCTCTCTGTTCTGCTCTGTACCCCCTAATTGATATGAGCCCCGCACCTAGCAGACCACCTGGGAGACCCCTGTGGAGCCACTGCGGGCCACGGGACACAGGCACGCACCTCCTCTGAACCGAGCACGCAAGGGAAAGACGCGAAGCCAGTCAGGGATGTCTGGAAACGAGGGAGCCAGTGTGCAACCAGGACCTGCGGCTGATTATCAGCTCCGGTGCTGGCACTGACCCTTCTGCTCAGGGGTCAGACGCACAGGCGAGTTGGGCTGCGATCTCATCACATCAGCATAAAACGAGCTTCTGCTTCTACCAAACCTCACGTCCTTTCTGCACCTGTCACTCCAGGACTCAGCAGAGGGTGGCAGGTGTGAAGTCACAGAGTTCAGACGACTGTGACCACCGGGCATTTAAATGGGCAGGCACCCTGAGAGCGCACAACACTTCAACCCCAGTGAATTGCTGTCACCTTGATGACATCCAGTAAATGAGTGGCACCACCTTCCTGGTGGCAGTGAGGACCCCAGACCTCAGTCACTGTCACCAACAGAAGCCATGGCCACTGCAGCTGCCTGTCCCAAAGCTCCCACGCCACGCCAGCCCCACTCACCCAAGCCTGACTCCAAAGCTCCCACTCCCATGTGTGTCCACGCCCACCAGTCAGTGCCTCTTGCAGCCTCTCTGGGAACCCAGAGCAGAGCCCAACACCTCTCATCCCAGATCCTGCCCTGGTGGGAGTCCCGGGCACCTCATGTCTGGACCGCCAGCCCTGCCTGCTGCCAGGCTTCCACGCCGTCCCTCCCCAACCTCCCTCCACACGGTTGAGGCCTAAGCCCCTGCACACTTGGGTCAGGGATGGCCCTCAGTGGCATCTGTGACAATGAGGGCTAAAATGTCCCCACATCCACACCCAAGCCGCTCCCTGACACCGTGCAGGTGCGCTGACCCCCCTGCAGGTAAGTGAGCTCGGCTGTGGACTGGCCCTGGACGCACTGGGCAGCAGGATGGGCAGGAAGAGCAGCCCTGTACCCGAAGTTCAGCACACGCTGTTCAAGAGCGCAGGCTCCAGCAGCCACAGCAGGCGACACCAGCCCCCTCCCTAAGCCCTGTGCATCGAGACCGTCCCTTCTCTTCAGAACCAGTGGACTGACCCCCAGCCCCAAAAGCTCGCCCCATTTAGTGTCCACTTCTGCTTTCTCCCCGTTTTGTAGACAACATGTCTGAGGTGCACCCGCTCCAGCTCTCTGGCCCCAGTGCCTGGGCTCAGAAGCCCCTGCAGCCTGTGTCCCTCTGCTGCCCAACCCCACAAGGTGACACAGCAGCAGGGCTAGTGATGAGAGGCAGAGCTGACCAGCTGGACGCCAGCAGCCTCCTCAGAGCCTCTGTGTGTGCTCTTACACCAGGGAGTCCCTGCGAGGCTGGGAGGAATACGGCTCCCAGAGCAGAAGGGTCAGTGCCAGCACCAGGGCCAGCATGGGGACCTGGGGCTCACTCTGCACCCCACTGGCAGCCTCCTCCTTGATGCCTGAACCCCGCCATGACACTTGTGCCTCGCTCCGGGTGCCAAGCGACCCTGCTGGCTGGCCCTGGGTGGGAACCTTGAGCCCTCCCCTCCTCTCAGTGGATGCTCAGGGGCCCTATCACAGCCACAGGGAGCTGCGCTGGGTCCCACCACAGCAGCAACGGGAGCCAGTCCCCAAGCCGCTCCCCGACACGGTGCTGAGGCAGCACCACACGCGCCCCACAGAGGTCCTGCAGACCCCTGCCTCTGCCCACCAGATGCTGGGCTCCCTCTCCCAGGCCTCCATGGCCAAGGGTCCCTTGGGACACTCACATCATTGGATTCTGGGTCCATCTTCTCTGTCATTCACTCAAAATCCACTTGGCCATTGTGGGGTGGAGGTGGCCCCTCGGGGCACACCCTAGCTCAGAGGTAATGTGGAGAAGCATTCCCTGTCCACCTTTGCTGTCTCCAGGAGAGGGCGAAGTGGACAGCACCTGTTTGGCAGCTGCCCCGCACCAGACAGGCTCCGTTCATCCTGAGAGAAGCTCTCCCCGCTGGGGGCCAGCCTGCATGCGTGCATAGGTCATCTTGATTGTGCATAGAGGAGGAATTCCGCACCACCAAACTCACCCTTGTGCAGCGTACAACTGGACAGGCCTGCTGCATTCACAGAACTCTGCAATGTCCTGCCATCTAATCCTAAGTCTTCACCTGCAAGCCACAGACAGGAAGCCCTGCCCCAACTAGCAGTCAGTCCACATCCTGATCCCTCCTGTCCCCAGGCCTCGGACACTCCCCAGTGAGCAGGAGCGGGAGCTCAGGCCACGCCGCGGTCACAAAGGGCAAGGTGACACCGCTCCCTCCCTGCAGAACTCAAGAGACCAAAGTAACACACTGCTACAGTGCAGACCGGAGGTGACTACTGTGTGTTTTTTTTAATTTCCCACAACAAGAATCCAATAAATTTTTAACACTTAAAAAAAATGAAATGTTAAAGATTGATTCAGCTTAACTCTACAACATCCACAGCAAATCAATCCCCGTTAAATAAGAAAGGGATGCCAGGCTCATTAAGAATGTGTGAGAACACCCAATTACCTGCATCCGGATCAAGCAATTTTCTGACAGAGCCATTCTCTTGACAATCAAGGTCATTAAACACCTGAGGAACAGCTTGAAATTCATGAAGTTTGAAAACCAACACACTCTGGGCTCTAACTGCAGTCAGCTCAATTTCCATTCCAGAGCACTGCCCGCCCCTCTGCTCAGCTGTGTTTAGCATCCTCAGAAATGGAAATGTGTAATTGGCTTTGCGGAATTGCTTCCAGAAACATTCAGATTTTGTTATTTATTGCTTTTCAAACCATCAAAAGGGTAAAAACAGCCCCGAGAGCCCCGCATTTTGATGCAGTCTTCAGAACGGCTTTGGCTACTGTGTCCTCTGGAATCAGCAGCCGCTGGAGCGGCCACTGCAGCCGAGCACGAAGCCACCTACCTTCAGGACCTGTTCTAGGTTCTCCAGCTTGGCGTGGGGCTGGTGTTTCTCCTTCACGCCAAACCACACTGTCTGGTCACCACGGGGAGCCTGAGGCTGGGCTGGGCATACTCTGCCTTCACCTAGAAGCAGAGGGGAAGCAGAGGTTGTTACCACCTGCCTAGGAACTGGGGCGGATGCCTGTGCCCAGTTGGCACCTGTCGCTTCCTGCCAGAGCAAGAGTGCTGACTTCCTGTCAGTCTTCTCATCCTCCACCATGGACTTTGTGGGGGACCACACCTGCAGGGCGTGGCCACATGTGACCCAACCTGGCCACTCCACCTGTGGTCTCCCTCTTCATCCCACCTACCTCCACCCCAGGCAAAGTGATTGCTTCAGGCCCAGCCAATCCGTGCAAGCCTATCCCTTGGATACACAGATTGGTTGGGGGAGGTCATGTGACCCAGTCACATCCCTACAGTCTTATATAAGAGCAAGGAACTGTGTTGCCCACTGGACTTGGCAAGTGAAGGACCGAAGGCTGGAGCTCCTGCACCAGTTGTCATCGTGAAGGAAGAACTCACCTGAGCACAAAGCATTAAAGTCGAGGTAGAGCCCAGAGCTGCAGAGGGAAAGCCAGAATTCTGGTGGAATCATTTGCACACCTAGATCAAGCTGTACCTGCAGCTGGTTAAGGTGATCCCAGTTACTCAAGCCCATTTGCTTACACCAGCTTGAACTGCTGTCTGTCCTTTCTACCCAGGGCAATCCTAATAGATGCAAAATTGGGGCTCAAATTCTGTAAATACACTCAGGTTTCTGTCTGAAAAGTCCATGGTTAAAATGGCCACAAGACTCCATATGTGTAGGCCCAGCTGCCCCAGGAACCCCAAAACACGTTCGTGCCGCCCTCGGACCACCACCCTAGAGGGGCTGGCTGTCCTCAGTCTCGCCACGGTCCCTGCTCAGAAAAGGAGCCGCTCCCACCCCAACATCCACCTAATCACAGCCTCTCATTCCCTTGCATCCTAGAGCACCAGGGCAGGCGCTGTGGCTCCACACAGGCATCACGGACACTGTCCAGCTGCCGAGGTCCTTTCTGCCGCGCAGCTCCCACACTTCCGGCAGACCTTCGACTTCCAGCCACCAGGGCAGCGGGTCCCTGGGAGGTGGATTCCCAGGCCAGTGCTCTGGGGGCCCCACACTCCCCGGGACTCGGCACTGGCCACGTTCACCTGTGCGCTGCACACACACATGCCTCACGCCCCCGTCGGCTTCAGAGACAGGGAGCTCTCAGGACTCTGCGGCAGCCACTCCATGAGAAAGCCTGGACCTGCGACCTGCTCCTGGGGCAGCTGCCCTACGTGGGCACCTACCGAGCCCCCACCAGGTGACTGCAGGGGGAGGTGCCCCAGAGCGACCCCGGGCCCTGGTCACACCGTTCCTGTGCAGGCTCCAGAGAGGCCGCCGACCACCCGGCTCCTCGCATCAGTAACAGGGAGCTCGGATGGTCAGCGCTGTTCTCTGCATCCAGGCTACGGAAAGCCAGACGGCAAGTCCAAGCAACAGTCACCGAGGAGAGGTCATCATCCAACATGTGTCTGGGGGCTCAGGACCCTGTGTCCCTGCAGGCTTGTGCTCAGTGCTCTCCTTGTTATACATTCACCTGCCACCTGTCCAGTGACCTGCGACATGAGGACACACGGCCCATGGGAAGGTCTCACCAGGTAGCCCAGGCTGGTCTCAAACTTGCAGAGATCCTCCTGCCTCAGCTTCCTGAGTGCTGGGATTATAGGCGGGTCCCATCACACTTTGCTACCTTCACTGTGTGTAAGGATATGACTCTATGGCATTAAATAAACCCGGTCTTACAGCCGTCACCCTGTCCCCCTCAGAACCCCACGTCACCCACACTAAAACCCTGTCCCTATTAAACACTGAATCCCCAGGAGCTTGCCTACACTAGCAGCCTCATATACGTACGACCCTGCAGGAGTCATCCTTGTGGTTGGCGTTTGCAACTGTCACGATGGCCCGGGCCACCCCGCCATAGTGGGGTTTGGAATGCCCTTCATGCTGCGGGCCAGGGGATGCTTCACTCTGTGTCTGCACTATGCATGTCCACACCACACTCTCCTCCCCCACGTACTCACTGATGGCCATGGGCTCCCACCATCTCTCTGTGGCCCTCTTGCTGCTGCACTGGAAGCGGACAGTAGGGCCACAGCGACCCATGTGTCCCTCCCATGGGGCCACCTCACCGTTCTCTGCCGCCTTTACACTATTCCACCACCTCCTGCCTCTTTGCCATTCCTAAATCTCCAAAATACACATCTTTTAAAAATTACCAGGCAGGAAGTAGGAAAGTGAGTCCCACACCAGACACTTCTAGATTTCCAGTGCATTGTTAGGACCTGGCTTCTCTCGGTGTGCGTGTGGGAGGAGCAGTGGGCACAAAGGCTCAGAGCCACCATCAGCCACGAATGACTACAGAGCAGCAGACCCTCGCCTGGTGCTGAGGTCGCAGACCGCTGTGACGGCAAAGCCTTGGGGACAGTGACACCTTGTGGAGACAGACACGTGGGTGAAGGTGTGCTAGATGGGCAGGGTGACATCAGTGCCAGGCAAGGTCACAGGGAGCGGAGGAGCGGGGCGGGCAGGACAGGGCAGCCAGACGGCGTCACCAGGAGGTGACTCTGAAGTTGAGGCTCCTGGGAGGAATCTGCTGGCTTTGAGGACCAAGCAGTGCGAGTTCTAAGCAGGAGCCCCAGCAAGGGCAGAGTGGGCCGGAACAGATCAGCGCGTGGGGCTTCCTGAAGAGCTGCTGCACCAGGCTATGCCAGGAAGGCAGGCGGGATCTCATCCCACCAGCCAGGGCCACAGCTGCTGCAGGACCCCGCAACCGGGGACAGGTGGAGGCCCTGGCCCTGGCCCGTGGGTGGGCTCTGGGACAGCCAAGGGTGGCACAGTGACAGTGAGGGGGGATGGGACGCGGCTGGCTGGGGTAGGACACAGACTTGGCCAGCCTCTGTCATGGCAGGAGCCACAGCATGCATGTGAGGGCAACAGCAGATGTCAGAGGCTGCATCTGGCCTCTCATTAAGAACACAGCACCTGCTAGACATAGGGTCACAAGTTCGAGCCCCACCTGGGCAACTTAGCAAAAAAAAAAAAACAAAAATGGGCTGGGGACCTAGCTCAGTGGAAAGGTATTGGATTCAGTACTCAGCACTGTAAGATGACAGACAGATAGACAGACAGATAGATAGATGATACACACATAGATGAGAGATAGAAACATAAATGATAGATATGTGAATGATAGATACATAGATGAGAGATAGAAACATGAATGATAGATATGTAGATGGCAGATACATAGACAGATGATAGATACATATAAGATGTATAGGTGTACATAGATGGATAAGAGATAGATAGATAGATGGAATGAAGTTTTAAACAGCCAGGTGTAGTGGTGCATGCCTATAATCCCAGCACTCAGGAGGCTGAAGCAGGAGGATAACCATGAACTGAGGCCAGCTAGGGTTCCATGGTGAGTTGAGTGCCAGCTGGACTACACAGTAAGACCCTGTCTTAAATACAACAAGGACGCTGCTGGCCCCAAGAAGCAGCTCAGGAGGCGTGGCCAGAGCCAAGGTCCACACTGATGGCTGACTCCTCCTCCCTCCCTTCCCGGGAGTGTGGGTACCTGGTCATGCTGAGGGGCCCTCACGGGAGGCCTGCATCTCAGGGCCTCAGGCCATGCTCCCTCTAGGCAGCAGCATCTTCAGTTCATCTTCCTGGGGCAAAAGAAAGGGCACTGTGAGAGCGCTCCAACCCCACAGGATGCAGCAGGCCCGGTGGTAAGTTCAAGCTCTGACCTGGAAGCTGGACTGGGGTTGGGCACAGCCCTGCGTGCGCCCCCAGCCGTGGGTGACTTGGGACTGGTTTCTGAGGGTACAGCAAAGCCATGACAAGAGCACAAAATACTCCACACCAAGCCCTCAGTGGTGGGAAAAGGCAGCTGGTCTTTCCCCAACTTGCTGGTGGTCCAGGAAGTTCACACCATTTATCTCATGTTTACTCCACCTCATTGACGCAAGGTCAGTTGTTAACCAGATGAAATCAGCCCTACCCAAAAAACCTCAGGATCTAAACCCAGAGCAGGAGCAAAAGACACTGACCCAAGCACAGCCAAGCAAAGGGAGACAAAGGCCACCAAGGGGGCCCAGAGCACTGGCCCTGAATCCATTCACGAGGAGCCAGTACACAGGTACCACCTACCACCCTGCTGGGAGGGGTCGCAGAGAGATGCACAGCTGGGTCGCCCTCCGAATGAGCCGTGCCTGAATGTGCCTGGAGACCCCGCCAGCCCAGCAGAGCACTGTACCTGGCCCTGCCCAGCTGCTCCCACGCACGCATGCTGATGGGGCCAGGAAGGAGCGTGTGCCCCCTGCACTTGGCAATGCGAGCTTGGGGTAGGGCAGCCTGTGGGGGTGAGCTAAGGGTGTCCTCTATCCTAGGACAGTGCAGGGCCACGGAAGACTCACCCTCATCACCGTCACAGTGCAAGATGAACACAGTGACACTGTGTGGGACAAGCTGCCCACCCAGGGAAGCAGCCTGGCTCCAGCTCCGTCGAGCCTTTCTAAGGGCATGGACGTCACCTGACATCACCTAAGGAGCCAGGCGAGGAGGGGCCACCCTGTGTCTCCATGTATGCTGGAGACCCAAAGGCTACAGAGACACAGGCTTCGAGTCGCAATGTGACAAAATGGGTCCTTGGCCAGCACAGTGGCTCCTTCCAGGCCACGTGCGGGCACACAGATTGGCTTCAGCACTGTGGACCTCACCTGAGGGAGGCTTCGCGGTGCTGACACCAACCAAAACCAGGGCCCAGTGACACACACCACAGCCCAGAGGGGCATCTGTGATCCACACGCTGCCTGGACCGGGCCACGACCCCTGCAGCATGCCCTGCTCGAGTCTGAGGACAGACCTACATTGAGACAGCAGCCCAGCCCCACGGCTCTCCTCCCTCCCACAGGAATTCAGCAGCTTCCTTCCCGGATGGATCTTAAGCACTGCAAACAGCTGTAGCCTTAGAGCCTCTGGGTTTAAAGCCCATGCAAAGTAAGAGGGTTTAGGACTTAGGAGGCACGAGTGCACCATGGGACAGGTTTCCCGTGCAGAGCAGAATGCAGCCTGCTGAATCTAAAACCTCACGCCACAGGAGGAAGGGGCAGGACCCCGCTTCGCCTTTCAGATGGACACCGGCCCTGGCCATCGGCTCCAAGCCAGCTGACTGAGGCCCTGGGCCTGACACCTCCCTCCCAGGCCAGCTGGAGGGGTCAGATGCAGAGACTTCTGCATTAATATGCAACCATGTGCACATGAGGAATTCCTGGCCTCTTCCAGCAAAATGATGGGGGGAAAGTAAGTATGAGGGAGGAAGGGAAAATCAGGAGCAAAAATTGCAAAATGGAACCGTGCAGGCAGATGGGCCAGAGGCCTACAGACGGTCATCAGGAGTGACAGGAATGTGTCAGGCCCTACTCCAAGAGCCCACCGCGACTCAGCTCCCAGCCTCCCTGGACCACTTCCTGCCACCCTCACTGTCACCATGAGAGGCACAGTGCAGACCCAGCCACTGCAAACCAGGAAGAGTCTTCCTGAGACGCCAAGCCAGCCAGAACTTGGCCCTCAGACCTCGGGCCCCCAGAACCCGAAAGAAGAGCCCGTCGGCTACTCAGGCAGCCAGCCTTGCTCAGTCAGAGCTGGGCCTAGTCTCCCCAGGCCCCAGAGCAGCCTGAGGGCCCATCAGGAAGCACGGTGTTCAGGGCCGTCTCCACACCAAGAACACAAACTGCATCTGCGGGCAGGGTGGCCACCCTCGGTGCAGTGGGCGACAAAGATGAGCACCTTCCCACCAGGACTTGCATCCACTCGACCACCTGGTCGGTGACACATAGTGAGTAAGCCTGCAGGGGAAGAGGGAAGGACTTTCTCCTAGCACAGGTCTGGCCTTGGAGAGGGCAGGAGGCATCCTCAGAGCCCAACCAGACGTGCAGGCTCATCAAGGAACCCACAGGACCCAGCCTCCCCCCTGCCAGACCCAAAGCCCCAGACATCCCATCCCCACCAGAAATGCCTCACGACGTCTGCCCTGCAGCCGCAGAGCTGGCCGGGTGCCCACCTGGCAGTGCCTCTTGTGGAGAGCGTGGAGGGGCCCCCAGGGAGTGAGTGGACCAGACCCCATGCACAGAGCACTGCAGGGGACAAGGCTGTCCTGCCACATGTGGCAGGTGACAGAGATCATCTCTGGCCCCAGCAAGGACCCCAAAATGCCTGTGATGAGGAAATTTATGGTCGCGACCTAAAAAGAAGAGGACCTCGTGCCCAGAGCTCGCCCAGCTGCAGACAGGGACTCATCAATTACAGCTACTGCTCAGGGTGGGCCTTGAAGGAACCTCGAGAATAACAAAACACACATTTAAGTGCCTTTTTAAGGAGCATCTGCCCCTCCTTCGGCGGATGGTTTATCACCCTGTTTCTGAAAACCTCCTCCTCCTCCACGGGACCAGCACCTCCCCGGCCTGGGCCCCAGGGACAGTGGTGTCACTATGTGGAGGGAGCGCCTCACTCTGTCCCCCAGACTCAGTCACAAAGGACAGGATCTCTCCCCAAGGACTGGCCAGTATGACGGATGACTGATGATTAACTGATTCACTGACTCACTGCTGGTTTAATTTTCTTTACCCAGGGAGCTCAAGGTGCTTGCAAATGTCTCTGAGCTTAGCCGGGCCATCTCCTGTCGTGTTCTCTGGTCCCTAGGGCCCTTGTGCTCAGACCAGATCACGGCTCACGGGGTGTCCTCCGACACCGCTGCACTGGGTTTTTCAACTGGAGTCAAACACAGACACACCAAGCTGCCTGGGCTGAGGTATATACTGTTTATCTCTGCTAGATGCGCATGCTGGCACCACCGTGGCCCCACAAACAGAAGAAATCTCCGGCCCAAGGCCTCAGCTGCCCCTGGGGCTTCCCCCAAGAGAGCACCACACACCGCTTGTGCCATTCCTCAGCTCCACAAATGAAATACAAACCCCTGCCAGAGTCTAGGCATTGCCCCATGTTTTGTCTGAGATCCCTGCATGTGGGGAGCCTCGGCTGCTGTACCCAGGGCTGTGTCCTGTTCTGGTCCTGATGGTCCAAATGTGGCTGCTGTCCCTCATCCCCGGAGGGCTCCAGGTAGGACCACTTCACCCAGGGAGGACCTAGCAGGCATGCAGTGTCTCCCCTTCACAGTCACTTTGACTTCAGGGCCGAGCCAGAGACCGTACCGCGCCAGATCCGGTGAATGAGGTGAGTGAGAAGACAGCGTCACCTTTTATTTGACAGAATTGCCATGAACATTTCAAGTGAATTTGGGACGTTGAGGCAGCCACAACACACCTAAGGACACTCAGCAAAGAGGACCGCAGAGCTGCTGCAGAAAGGGGCGAGTGAGTTTGAAGCCAGGGGAGGCCTCAAACTTTTTAGTTAGTCTGTGTCTGCAGCACATAACAATCACATTCCTCCTGGGGAGCTGGTGCTGGACACAGCACGTCGTAACCCTTCTCTTCGTCCCCAACATAGCTCCCCTCCCTCCAGCTCTTGGCGCCCTGCCCAGCGGCAAACAACCTCCCTACTTCCTGTTCTCTCTTTTATTTTTCTCTTTAGTTATATATCTTTTGGATTCTCATTAAGAAAGCCATGTGATACTGAAGCTTGCACCTAATTTACTTCACTTCAAATTATGGTTTCAAGGTTGTTTTCCTACAAATGACTTGAGTTATCCTTCTTCGTGGCAAAGTAGAGCTCCATGGCTAATTACAAACACATGCATGCTCCGTCTCTGGATGGATCCATCAACAAATTTGCTGTTTGTGTTTTTATTCATACAGGGTGGACAGGCACCACACACACGTCTGCAAAGTCCCTCAGTGGGCAGACACAGACAGCACCGTGTGTGTCCCTGTAGCAAGGCAAGGCGAGACCAGGGTGCAGACAGCCGGACTTGGCCTAGGACGCTCAATGTGGCCCGTGGCACCCGAGGCATTGGCAACATCTGGAAATAGGACATTTAAGATGCAAACAAGGGTCTGTGCTTTCTGGTGAAAAGTCGGACATCTGGCATGCTGGACCCGCACTCCAGTCTGGTCACAGTCAGGAGCAAACAGTCATGCGCTGTCTTTGGTCCTGACTGTCCCCCTCACACCTAGACCCCCTCTAGAAACTGTAGCCCAGAGAGGTTACATAAGGTAAAGGAGGCCACACAGCCAATCCATTAGCCTAAATCTTTATCATCCACTTAGGATTTGTCTTTTGTTTTGTGGTACTGAGGACTGGACTCTGGGCCTCAACACTGAAATACACCCCACACTTTTTTCTTGTTTCTTTTGAGATAGGTCCTTGCTAAGTTGAAAAGTTGCCCAGACTGGGTTTAAACATGCAGTCCTCCTGCATCAGCCTCCCAGGTGTTAGGATTGCAGCATGCACCACCACACCTCACCATAGCCCTCGTTTCCTGTTGCTACGGCAGACATAGCTGGTGCTGGGAGCTCAGTGCAGACAGTTCTGTTGAGCAGGCTTTGCCGCTCCCACTCACGCGAGGTGACAAAGTCACCTTGCAACAGCCTCCCCTGGGCGGCCTCAGGACTGAGGTGGTGGCCCAGTCGGTGACCGAGTCAGTGGCCCTAGGCAGCCAGCAGGGCAGGGGGATGGCAGCTCCCTGCTGGAGACGGAAATGAAAAGCCTG